TATTATTGCATACCGTATTTCTCTTATACTATTATATCTAATCCGTGTCCAACCCGGATCGTTGTGACATCGTGTATTACAAAACTATAATAATAGGATTAAGGGACGAAATAGTATTTTTTTTTTTTTGAAAAACGAGCAGACATTTTGAAATTTTAAAATAATGGTTTATATCATTATATTGCATAACTGATAATCCTGCCATAGCATCCATTTCAATACCACGATCCATACTTCTTCATCTTCCTCCTATTCGTCTTTATCTAATCCAGTGAAACCTGTTTTAACGGTCAAAATAATAAAGCTCTTGGCAAAAGTATTTCAATGTATTATTTCAACCTGTCTGTAACGAACACGAACAGTAATGTTTCTCCCAGTTGGCATGATAACGGAAAACAATGCCATAATAAAACCAAGAAAACCAACGAATTATACGTCCTTTCGATTATTTTTGTAAAACGATAACATTTATTGCGTTAGCAATATAGATAAAATATTATTTCCCGTTATCCCGTTTTAACCAAAAACCGTAATTTCGTTGTGTTAATTTCATCTTTTGTAATACTGAAGAAATCGTTCGATTTAATGTGGAAAGTATTCGGCTAAAAGACACTATAGTGGCCTGCCTAATCGTTAACTCGCTAAATTTGACTATAAAAATACTAAAACTTGTCTAAATCAGAAACCTGTAAATATGTTACATATGTTATAATGAACAATTTTGATGGTCCCCCGTGAATTTCCGTTATAGACAGGTTATTGGGGGTTAGGTAGAACTAACTTAAAGTACGTCTGCAAGTACGCCTTTCATATTTCCTCTATTTATTTCTCCATCTGCTCTAAAATATGTCCTCATACCCCTCCTTAAACCACCTTTTTTTTGGCCTATTATCTTTTCCTCAGTTTGTATATATCACTTATATCTTCTTAAATATTTTGTATCATTTCTTCCTCCTCCCATATCTCAATCTACAGAGAGAATGGATCGGCTTAGTAAGTCTCATTTGTTATTTCCAACCCACTAAATGATGATAATATGAAACTATGCAAAATAGTATTATGTTAAAATCGATTCTGAGTGAACTTAATGTAATTTTTAATTTTAACTTATCGTGTTACCGCCTCTTCTCATTACTGTAGTTTTTGAAAGTGCTTTCTTTAAAAAAATTTCTCATTAAAGTTAAACATTACTTTAATGTAATAGTTTGTGTATAAAATGCAAATAATATATCTCAAACGTTTTGTTCAATGTCAAATAAAATTTGATTTTCTGAGAAAAAATCGATTGCATAAATTAATGACATATATATATATATATATATTTATTGCTTATATTAATAATGATAAATAGTTATTTTGAGTTAATATATATATTATATATTATATAAGTATGGATTTAAAATCACTTTAAATACTATTTCAACAGTTGTATTATTTGTGTATAGGTCGTGATTAGGTATTTAACTTTCTCGTTGTTTTTTTATTATTATTAATTTTTTTTTCCCTCGTACGTTCGTTCGCTATATAGAAATGAGGTTATTTCTCCCATATTAGTTTTTCCTTTACAAATAACGCCATAAGGTTAACTTGTAATTAATTTTTGGCAGAGAAACGCAAAACATTTTCGAACGAAACAGTTTACTATTTGGAAATAATAGTGCGTATGTACCTACTTGAATATGTATGTGATATTTCAAAGTCTATATCGAGACTATAGGTATCTGATATTATAATATATTATTAAAATACGTGCTTAGGATACTAATTGAGTTTAAATATTAAACGCCGCGCGAATTGACGGGTGTTTTTTCAATTGATTAATATATGGCACTGTAATGCATTACGTAACATTTCGTTTGAGTCATAGAAATCCCAATAACATGTTACTTAAATATACTTGAATATTTTAAGTTCCAATAATTATTTTAATCTAAGTCGTATTTCTTTTGGATATACCTACGTAACATTTTACATATTAAATGTATAATGGTGCAAATTGGTTATTGAAAAAAAAAATCCATGTGTTTTTGAGACGAACTGACATGAGATTATTAACGGTTACCATGAGCTCATCAAATAATTAACGGATTAGACATAATAAGTAGGGAAACGAAAAAAAAAAACCAAAAATCGCACGTACCTAAATTCACAGCTAATCGCTATACGATATATATACTATATAACTTTTACAGAAACTACGAATAAAAAAATTTAATTTTGAATATTAAAATCAATATTATCAAATCGGTTATTATTATTTGTGTCAAGTACCTTCAGTAGACATAACGTTCGATTTTTTTTTTTTTCAGGACACGTTTTGGTCGTCGTCCACTAAATCGGTTTTTTTTTCTCGAAGTGTATATTTATTACTACCTATATGAATAAATGTGTTCAATAAAAAGATTGGTAGGTGCATTACTGCAATAACAGATGACTATATAATATTATAATTATACATATGACGTTTAGAATCACGATGACTTCTTATACGCTGTTAATTATATTACCTACTAAAATTTTAATTTTTACGATGCAGAATATTAACCCTATAATATAACCTAAATAAAAACCGACAGATTAAAAATATTATAGCCTTCCAGCTATAATTTAAAAAAATTACCTCACCAAATCAATAAATATTGTTGTAGTTTATTAACTTTACGCGGTGTGTATAACAGTTCAAAAAGTCACTTCCATGTAGGTATATCTGCAATATTTTTTTTTTTTTCATGTTTATTACGAACAAAAAATGTAATCGCTGCTCTAAACGAGGCAACGGGTAGAATGATAATGTTATTATATTTATGTACCAACTTATAAAGTATAGCGAAACTATACGTTATTATTTTATATTTAATGTTTTCGAATATTGCACTACAGAATAAAACGTTAAACATCTTAATAATATCACATTAACTATAGGTATACTTTTATATAACTTACATAACTTTATAAGTACCAAACAGTTTAATTTTAGTGTTTTACTTTTACTGATTGCATTATATTGTATTATTCATTATTAATGTTAAATTCTCAATAATAACTCGAATTTGTGATTAAATGTTATTTTATGTTCGATTGTCTGTTATAAATAATATACTGTGCGAGTATAAATAAATCTTTTTCACGTTACTTTCGGAAACTTTTAGCTGCTTCTTCTAGACAAAATGAGGTCAAACTATTGAAATTAATAGTTGATTAATTAAACTACACATAATTACTGCTGTTTTATAGACGGATTGAAATGAGAACATTTTGGTTAAATTCCATAATGAATTTCTCCATGTTATTACGGGTGTTTTTTTTTTATCTTTATACATCTTTAAATATGTAAATAAAGCCAGAAAAATAAAGCCATGTACATGGTAATAAGTATTGAGGGTGTGTTTTTTGAGAGTTACCACTTTCAACTTCCTCTCCAACTATTTTTATGATCAAATGTCGTGTTTTTACAAGAAATATCAGAGCTTAAATACAAATTGAAATGTAATAAAACCTTGGCAACCATAACTATTTTAAATCGATTATATAAAAAACAAAAAAAAAAATTAAATATTGTAACGGCGATAATTCGATGGGGGAAGAATTTAACTCTAGTACAAGAGCTCTGCTACTCACACGGGCGTATTTTTTTCTATTCTATGACGAAATAGAGTAAAATAAACTGAAGAGTAGAAATTAAAAGCGTAATAATTTATCGTAAAAAAAACATTCATATACACTTGAAACACAATAAAAACATGATATGCTACTTATATAGTACTAACATTGTTAGAAAAAGATAGCAATTAGCCAGTATGCCATGGACTTGGATCCGTATTATTTTATTTAATATTTATTTATTTTAGGGTTTATTCGACCTTAAAACAAAATCCTCCAGTCATCTCTAATCCAACGCAAAATTCTTCCGATTTGGCCCCTCTGAAGCATCCGCATCTTTCTTGATCACATTTTCCCACCTCATTCTTGGCCTACCCATAGGTATTTTTCCGATTAGATTCTGCTCCAGCATAATAATTCGCAGTAACGAGTTTCTCAGCTCTAGCTCAGCCGTGCATTTTCAGCCCGCTGCAGTATTATTTTTTTTATTAGTCTTTAAAATATTCACTTCGATCTTCTTCATAAAGTAATATCTAAATCTGTGTTTTCGTACTTAAATTATAGCACTATCTTTTTCAGATACAATTTTAGCTTCCAGACCTCTTTCTCTGTTATACGTTAATTTATGATGATAAAAAATCGTACTGGAGCGAATTTATCGTTAAATTAAATTTGAAAAAAAAAAAAAATGGTTAAATGGTGGATTTTTACGAGAAGAAAACAGCTGCTGTATAGTAGAGACTTCAACAATAATATAACAAAATATCCCTACGACGACGATAAAAATCGGATTTGTATGCAGTTCTCGGCCGTGTCGTAGATAAACGCCGCCGCACGCGGTATCGTCGAGACGAAAATGGCGGTGACGATAATCGCGAACGGTGGAAAATCGCTTTGTCCGTGGACATTGCGCACGATTAGAGAGACACGCGGTTTTTGCCTGGAGTTACCGGAAGATTGTACATTATCTATACCTACTCGTAAATTATTTTATTGACCGGGAATCGGCATTATCGTTATGACAATAATACTGTGTATAATAAGTGCGTGTGGGCGGTGAGGGCAGCAACAGCAAATAGATTGATGGAGAGAGAGAGATTGAGAGGCAGTCAGAGAGAAGGGGTGAAGGAGATCGCGCTGAGATATAGAAAGGAACCGCGCAATAATATTGTTAGATATACGGAGTTGATACAGCGGCGAACGGTGTCGCGGGCCATTGTCTGCGGTGGAAAATAAATAACAACAAGAAAACGAACGCGCGCGATAGTGAAAAAAAGAAAAAAAAACGGAAACGACCGCCCGTACACCCGCAGCCCGCTCGTAATACGCGAATCTCTCTCTGCGCCGCCACCGCTTCCATATGGCCGAGCCCGGCGCGCGCGTTCTCAGGTCCTCGGCTGATCCGCTGGCTGCAGTAGTAATTCGCCGGTTCGGGTGAAATGTGTTCCACTGTTGTCGTCGGCCGATTACACGAAACCGCTGTTGTCGGATAATATAAAGACGTACTTACGAAACAATTTTAAAAAAAAACCCACGTGAGTATATTATTATATTACATTATTTGTATAGAGTAGAAATAATATTTAGACTTGCGGTCAAAGACGCGCTCGCGATTACCGTTTCCGGATTATTTTAAAATGTATTTATTTATTAATTTTTTTTTTTTTTCGTAGAATACCTTTCGATTTGAGTACTCCTATAAATAAAATAATTGTTCGAGTACAGATACTTTTGAAAAGTGTTTGCAAATACTTTCAAATGCATTTATTTACATTTTATCACCAATCGAGTTAATATGCGGGTTTCCTTTTTCTTTTTCTGATTTGATAATTTTTCGTCAAAATTTTCAATCCGTTCGACGACTTCCGACGTATAGTATAATTATTAGGCGATGTGCTTTGATTGAAAATACGGGAAACAATAATTCTAAAAACGACAAAAGTATTTAAATCGAATGTTCGAAAAGGTACCTACTAAAAATAAATGGGAGTACTTTACAAGCCTATTGGCATCGTTATACTTTCGTCGTAACGTTTTATAGTGTTAACCACTGATCCAATCGTCATAAAATAAAGTCAGTAATATTTTTAACACCCGTGTGTTTGTAGATTTATCGTTTTTGATTTTGTGCGTTTTTAACCACGTCGCGGTTTCCGAGATCATCCATGAATACTATACATACGTATAATCATCATTAACAGTATACAATATATTTATAATAGTTCGTGCCCGCCGACGCATGTTTTTCGGCTAAATTATTAACTATACCACCGAATTTACTTATAAGTTAAAATAAGTGATCACGATATTAAATCGAGGCTGTGTCTTTCGGACAAGGAATATTTAATAATTAAACGTTTATTATAGACGGACTGCGGTGGTCTTCATAAGGGTTTTACATAAAATATCGTAAACAAATCATAATATTATACGCATTCTGTGATCAACACAATCCTTTTTTAGAGACGCAAAGAAAATTGTACAACGGGATTCGAGAAAAACGTGTATCGAATAATATTTATTATGATATACTAAACTGCTATATTACCCGGCTTTGCCCGTGTATTGAACGAAAAAAATATTAAAAACTTATCTCCCCGCGGAAACAATTGAATATAATAAATAGAAAAGTACGCTCCGAATCCAAAAGACCGATACTGTCGATAGGTGTGTCACTGCTTTAAAAGGGAAGTTAAGAGGACATGTATATAAATTAATTTCAGTTATATCTGTACGCAACGATAAACCATTGCTTAAAAAATACGATTCCGAGCAAAGTATTATTAATTATATTTTTTCCCTTGTTGCCGATATTTTAAACCAGAAATCAAAAAAAAATTCTACAAAAATTGCCAGTTTTTCGCATTTATCCAAAATTTAGCAATTCATAGGTACATTACATGTAATGTAATGAAAAACTGCAAAAAAAAAAAAAAAAATGACATCCTCAAACCTCAAAAGTCCTACAAAAATTTCCTATACAATTTATAATTGGAGTAGGATTTCTGGTAACAGCGTTGTTTACAAACACATCATAATTAAATCTATATAATTCTAGCTTCGCTCAGAATCTAATATAATTGTTTTGCCGTGTAACCAATGGATACCAAAAAAAAAAAAGAGCAAATGTTCGTTTTGGTTTGTTAAGGACAAATTACTGTGTGAACCACCTTTGGTGGTTAAATTTCCTAATCAAACTGCTGTCTACAAACATTCCTAGAATAAATTAAAACAAACCGTAACATTTTCAGAAAAATCGATAAAGTAGTTTTTAGTCTTTAAACCACAATCGTACACGCATTGCCTTTTATCGAAGACAGCAGTTTTACAGCAGTTATTCTTTACAGTTTATATATATTATAATATTTTATTATTTTAGAATGCTACACGATTTAAAAGTGTTAAAACAATATATTGTGTTTAAATTGGTAAATGTCGCGATTAAATCATATAATATCATATGATCAAAAATATGATACATGAAATAGGTGTTCCGCGGATTTTGAACAAATAAAAATAAGTAAACTTTCATTTTTAAATAAAAAACATTTATTTTTAATAAAACAAAATGCATTATTTTATAATAATATGTTGATAAATAAACAAATCGAATAATGCTTACTGGTTTTATTTTTCTAAATATTGAAATGTTCAATATTTGACAAGATTTTTTTATCCAATAAAAAATATCTAAAATTCAAAAAACACGAACAAATTGCAGTTCATTTATTCCAATTATCTATAGGTATAGAAAGACGTGAACCAGTCATATTGATTGATTTTTTTTTTTTTTTTGTTATTTGAATATCGATATTTCTTTACCCCAAATTAAAGAATGAATGGTTATAATATTATAATGCATTACTGAAATCACATCGATTGTTGTTATAATAATATAGTTTTGTTATTTTGGAGCAAATAAAAAATACACTACGTCTCTACTACACGCTAACAGCTAGGTCAACCACCTGCTATACCTAATATTTTACGATGCTAATAAACTCTTAAGATTATTGAAGATTAAAAAAAAAAAAAAAAACAATTTTTGTAAATAATAAAAAAAAAATGTCGAATTACCAAGAAAAACTTTTTTTCCTTTTTAAACACCGATGAAGTATTATATATGCACGGTAGTCCTACTACAGCGTTTCTAACACAATTAAACCGTTACGTCGAATAATTGCATAAAAATATGCGTATATGTATATTGATAAAAAATTTTACTGACATTTTTTGTTTTTTTTTTGTCTACAATGGTACAATATAATGATAAATAATACGCTGTACGTATAGGATTCACGGGTTAGTGACATGTTTAAACGATGAACGCGGACAATTAACCGGTGTCATAGCCAAGTGATATTATTTATTGTGTTTTATTTTTTTTTTTTACGAATTGTTTACGAATCGTCTAACTACATTCAAAAATAACTGTTTACCTATATATTATGTACCATAATATATAATATGCAAATTAAACCACAATTAACAATAGATGTAGATGGTTCAATTTTTTTTTTTTTTTTAACCACGAATTAAGTATTTCAACCATTTCTATCACACGCGTGTATGTATAATGCAGATTGATAAAAATCGAGTTTTTTTTTCATTGACATTTCCCGGTTTAGAATAGTATATTATTGTATAGCATATAATATGATAATAATACAAATCAAATATCATTTATGCAAAACGTATTCGGGTGTTTTTGATGAATTTATTGTTGGTTTTTACTATATGTGTTTTTATATTTGTTTTGTTGTATCCGCGAATAACTTTTCTACTTGAAATATTTTTCCGATCTTCAAATGTAGCCTTTTTTCTGAAAAAAAAATGAATCTAGTTGATACATTGAAGAAAATATATTATTTTTATTTTCCTAATAATTGAGAAAAACCGGAAGTAATCGTAGGAAAAACGAGAAAGTTTACGGTAATAACGGTTTCATTATTTTCGTTTTTGATTAGAGAGTTCAAATTTTCACGAAATACTTATATTAGCCTTTTCTGAGCATGATCAAATTTTCAAACCATTTCGATAATTATTAAGCACTTTATTTGGAATGTTCAAGTCTCTTTAGTTTTTATTTGGTTTTATGTGAACAAAATATTTTTGGCCGAACATATAAATGATTGAACATGCTAATCGGAGTTTATGAAAAGTTGTACTTAAAGGTTTGAAAAGTAGAGCGTAATCTAGTCGTTTTTATAAGTTCAATTATTTTGTTTGTAAATAATTAAGTTCAAATTTTAACGAAAATCATAAAAATCACGGCTTTTCAAAACATTTATCGTTGCGTACAGATATATTTAAATCTGTACTGCTGGAAAAAAATAAAAGACTATATCATTATATTCAAATATATTACCTTCCTATTTAAATTTAATAAAATCTTTTTTCTATAGTATTTTGTGAACCAAAGTCATTCATATCGTCTAAATCAACAGTATTTATATACCATAAATAGGTCTTCAATTTTTTTTTTTTTTTTTTTTTAATGTTGTGATTTCTTTGTGATATATTTACAATTAAACGTACGTTATGTCACGTATCATAATAACCATCATCATATAGAACTTTCGAAGTGTATTTTGAATTGTGTGATACAAAATTATTTTATTTAAAACATTTCAATATGTTTAATTTTAGGATCCTATAATTCTCTGTTAATAGAAATAAAATAACCCCTGCCATTATCTATAGCCCTGTATTAGACACATGCCAACCTTGCCTGTACGTTAATCCAGCCAGTGACGTGCACAAGAATTTTAAATGGGAAGGGCGGTCCAGACTTGTACTTTGCATGGTTTGAAAATGTTAATTTTAATAGTAATTAATTAATTATAATCGTAGAATATTATTAAGTCTAAATTTCTTTATTTTCATGCTTGCTATTGATTATAATAAATATATATATATATATATATATACATATTTTCCTGATCATGCTAGCCATGTTTGTACCCAACATTGTACAAATGATTATAATATATAATAGTCAAATTTAATATGTAACAGTGTAACGCGGTTACGTATATCACTATAGGGATACTGCATGACTACACATAATCGATCTTGTTTGTACGTGTATTTTTTATTTCGATACGTATATCGCATAACTACATCCAATGACGGAAATCGGGAGAGGGAGGGTTGAGGGGTCTAAGCCCATTCGAAACATATAAAACATAGAAATTATTCCCCCTCAAATTACTAATTAATGATCTTACTGATAACTGATTAATTCGAGGGGGCAAATATATCTGTTTATACGTTTTAAGTAGGCTTAGACCCATCAAGTCCCTTCCCCCTAGATTTCTGCCAATGATGGCTACATCCCCGATAGTAATTTAATCATCGTGTTTTTAATTCATATTTTATTCGTAATTTAAAAATAATAAGGAACATCAATTTTTTCCTAACTATGTAGTCAATCGATCTGAATGATCTTTGTGGGAGCATATTGTATTATATTATAATTTTAGAATAACGGGTGTACGAAAATCGTGCGATTATAACGGTAAGTAATTGAAGATTTCGTTTAGATAAACTCAGATGAATAAATTATTTAAATATTTCAAAACCTAATTATGTTTCTAGTAAACAAATGCGTTACATATTAATTAATAAAAAAAAAAAACTGAAATACAAGAAACTTGCGAGCGTTAAAATTCTCAAAAATCTACACATTGTTATACCAATACAATAACATACGAAGTATCGTCGCACGGAGAAATTAATCGAACATCATTTCATATCATATTTTAAATACCTACAAGTAGATACATTTTTCGGGAAATCGTAGAAAACAAAAATAACACTTTCTATACACGAATTTCAAGTTGTATTATGCCTCATCCTTGTGGTATGTGTTCGTCTTCAAACTCTTGATTTACATTATTTTTATTAAAGAAACGACAAAACTCTCGGTCAAGATTTGTATATGAGATAGTATACTCGTATTTTATTATATTCTTTATATTCGGGTCGTTAACTCATCCTGTTATATAAATTGCAATAATATACTCGTAATGTAAACTGTCTGGTTGATGCGTAAAAAAAATGTTTATTTCAAACGGAATATTTTATCCATAATATCTAAACGTGTTTGGCTCGCCTATAGCTGGCATAATAATACTGGCATCGTCGGTCACTGATTTCGGCATGATGGCTGATATTTGGCGAACAGTCAGGCTTTCGAACAAATTACAATTGTTGGTATAAAAAAAAAAAAAAAACTATATAATAAACAAATTATCATTCGATTTTATTCGCGGTGGGTGTTATCGGCAAAAGTTTAAAATATATACTCGTAGAAGGTCAACGAACCTTGCGGGTCTCAAACTCAACCGCTAGCTACGTATAGGTAAGATATCCGGAGTACATAAACAACAATTAATTGAACTACCAGTTTAACTGCATTTATTCATTTAAATTGTAATTGTTTGTGTACCCGTGATTTATAAAAAAAACGGCACGTGCCCTCAATGCGCTGGTACCTGTTACAAACTGTTGTAGTGTCGCGTTTTATAATCCCGGGCATAAGCGGAAAATCTTTCCCGATGTAGGTATCTTTGGTTCTCGGAAAATAATTAAGACAATTTTTTTTTTTTATGATTATGCCTTATAATATATTATAATTTTTTTTGGACTGAATAAAATAAATGTATGTATTTTCAAAATCGTATTTGCTTGTATTGAAAACTACTTTTGAAATGGACTTAATTATTTCGTCCTTGGGACCTGCACATATAAATATACATTTAAAAAAAAAATATTTTGTATTTTATAGCCTAATATATATGAGACATGAATAGCTGATAGGTACTGACTAATAGCTTAAGTTAAATTGAATACCAACAGACAAAAATCTGTACAACAAGACTGGACACCCTGTAGAATAATATCAACACTATAATATATGCACGACATAATAATATTATACAGTGACGTGTGTATACGAGAACGGAACGATTTCCAACAGTTACGGTCACGACCCGCGGTTTTGAAGGTACCTACTACCTACTACCTATAATAAATAATACTTTAAGTGAGATTTGGCTACCTAATATATGCGTATACGTGAAGACTGGTTCAAAATGCATTAATATACATACATATATATATATATTTTTTTTTCTATCGCGTGTATGCTTATTTGAATAATATACGATTTGAACTACTGCCACAAACTCTGCAGTCTGCACGTTGCATGCGCAGAGTTTGATTAGATTTTTAGGCAGGTAAGTGAGTACCTGGTCGATATAATAATACAAACATCGTTATACACTATATATAATAATAAATAATATAATCGAGTTTTTTAATAACTGTAATTTTCGCTGAGATCAAAAATCACAAAATACTAGTGTACCTACATAACGTTATTGACGTTTTCGAAAAGAACATTTAAAATTATAATACGTATACACTGTGCGTCGATATAAAAATACCATCGTACTGTTTGGTGTGTACCTAAAATATATTATTAACAAATTTTTTCTGGACCTTCAAAATTGTATTTAACGGTTTATACGGTTTATTTTGTAATTTTCGTACCGTTTTTATATACGTATTATGCTGATTTCTGATCTTAATTCTAAGTCGACAGGTACTTGTTATACGATATTTAATGCATTATTAGTTACCTTACCTAAACGCTTATCGACATAATTTTATTATATTGGATATAGATTATGCAATTGAAACATATTTAACCTACAGTTGTAAAAAGTAAAATAATTTCAATTAAATTATTATAATAAGTCAATAAAAAAACAAATATTAAATTAATTGTTGAAACCATATAATGATATATAGTACGTGAGATAATTTTATACAGTACCTAGGTATATAAATTAACTCTTGCCCTTCAGTTTTCAATACTCATTTGAATTCAATGTTTAATAAAACAATTATAATAATATACTTATATTATTTGTATTTATTAATAAACAAATATGTTTTGAACCGAGGACTATAAAATATAAAATATTCTGCACTTAAATCCATCAGTACTATTATTTATACATTTTCCATAAACCTGCAATACGGAAATTATTAAATGCAGTAACTATAGCTAATATAATACAACATAGTTTATATGTTAATATGTGTGAAATGTATAATATTAGACTTAGTAATAATAAGTATAATTATATCTAGAGATACCTAATTAAAAACAATAATTTGAATTCTTCCTTGTCTGATAAGATTGAAACGCATTTGTTATATTAGTCCTAAATAATTATATTATTTTAAAAATCCGTATGTGTCCGTAGTGAAACGTTTTGTCATTTTTTTTTTTTTTATGTAAACACAATTTTTCTATAGGTACTTGAATTATTTTTCTATATAATTGTTTTTAGTTTTACACTAGCAAGAACTAAAAATTCTGTATATTCATTAATATTTCTTTCAATGACCTAAATTCGGTCAATCCTGCGGGATTGTACATTTTTAGTATCCAAATTTCCACTAAATAAATGATTACCTATTTTATTATATTTTTTTTCACTTATTATCGATACTGTTCGTCATTAAAAGCACCTACATGTCCTGCATGTATAAATAATTATGCAGGAAAAAAACATCTAATCAAAACATCGAATTCCAATGGAAAACTATAAAAGTTGTGATCATTTGAAAATCTAATTCGGTATTTATTTTTAAACAAACAGAGGATAGCATAAAAATCAGTGTTGGTTTTATTTTCGGCACGCTATTTGGCAATGAACACTTTTCCTATAGCGCCCTTAAAAAATATATTTTTTACAACACACTGAAATTTTAAACAACACAATTTACATTTTGAATTGCACAATTTGGATTCTAAAAAATATCACTTTAGACCCTATTGAGTGTATACTGTGGAACAGGGTTAATATTTTGAAAAAAAAAAACTGTTATTTTACCATGTTCTATAAGATTATGATGTCCCCTTAAAATTTAAAAAACATTCTTACTTTATCTGAAAGTTTGCCACTAAAATAATAAGCATAGAATTTCTATAAATATGTCTATTTGACCATTGTATTTGTTTCATATTTAACTTTTCCCACAATAGACGCCTTACTCATAAAACTTACATTTCAATAATTAAAAAAAAGAAGAAGTATTTATAGATAACCTTTATTTTATCAATAACCAAACGTTATATAAGCATAACCATTAATTTTGCTTGATTATAATATTTTAGTAACTTATAGCCAAAGTAATGACTAAAATCGTCAAAATAACTTGTTTATAAAATACAGTAATCTAGCTATATCACAATTGTTGGTTGTTCGACAAAACACGCTTATTAATTTGCGGAATCATTGATAGATATATTGTTACAGAATAATTATTACTAACAGGAAATCACCGTGAGTCACAGTCGTGCTATGCATAATTGGAAAACGTATATACTAATGAATCCAAATTGAAAATATCATATTTTTTTTGTATTTGTAACCTTAAAAAACTGGCAGCTGAGTCGGGACATGAGATTCGTGTGATGTTAATCCTAAGACATTAAGGTTCCTAAAAGATCTATGAAATAGACGGACACAGCACATATACGGGTACCAAATCCTCTTAACGTGTTCGAGTCAATGAAAACTATTTTCAGGGTTGAGATTTTATAGCATTTGTAAAATTCCTATGAGATACTTAAGAAATAGCAGAGTAAGCTAAAAGAACGTTTCGTGATACTCATATTAAAAATTATGTTTTGCATATTTTGTGATTTTTAAATTTTAGTGCTATTTTTGGACATTTTAAGACCGTTTTGCATTTTTACCAGTTTTTGAATCGAAATTGGACATATTTTATGAAATTATATTTCTGTCAACATCTATAAATTCCTGCCAGTCAAATTGTCAAATTAATTACGCCGCGCCGTTCCTAGTATTTCGTATTATTTGGTTCTAATTTTAAACTGGTTATTTGTTGATTTTGTTGAGGTTTTTTCTGTCAATATCGACTGCGATTATTATCGAACAAGTGTTTTATTTTTTTTACAGCCCTCCGGGTTTCTGATCACAGTGACTAAATGATTTCAAAACTTAAGTATCTGACTACCTATAATAATTTGTAAGTGGTTAATAGATTTCAGTTGTTTTTTTTTTACATATTTTGTTATTTTTAGCGCATGTTTTTAGCCCATATTTACGCGTACTTAAGGTCATATTTATGCAATTTCAACCCTGCTGACTATAATTATGCACTAGTTTTTTTTTTTTTTCTGGTAGGTGGATATTTGCAGCATTAAAACTTGAACAATATATGCTTGTACAGTATAGAAAATTTTGATTTATTTTTCGAACAAACCCATGTAGGTATAGATACCATGAACAGCATTCGCTTGTATATATTATACACAGCGCCGTATCATAATAGTCATAATATAATAATGATAATATTGTAAACATTAGGTAGAAGAAAAATTAAATAAAGTACATATATATATATATGTAACATAAAGATTCTAATATTCGCGTTCGTAATCTGGATCACGGAGAAAGTCTTTCGGTATAATACGCCACTGTGGTCTGTATACTCGTATATCAAATACTTATGCGATATAATATCATAATTTCCTCGCGGGACATCGAAAATATTAGTACTTATGTATACTTCGCTTACTATAGCAGAATTACCAATAATAAGTAATGCAGCTGATTGCTCCGACGTCGTTTATACGAATATCCGACGAAAGGTCTTACAGGTCATCCATACGAAAACACGTAGGTACCTACCTATATGTACTTGATATAATAATTTTACTCACGAATCGGGGTTTTTTTTTTTTTTTTAGAACATTTTGTTTTTAATGATTTCCAACGAAATTCCAGGTTATTCTACAGAAAGCTGTGTGCGCAGTTTCAACGTGTCTAAATATGCGCGTGTCTGTGTATATTTGATATCTACCGTGTTCATCTTGATGTGTAACAGTCACGAATATCGTGCGTGCCTATATTATAACCCTGTATATTATAATATACAGGTGCGTGCGCGAGCCTAGTTGCAAAATAGGTTTTTTTATTGTCCGTAAAGATTTAATAATAATATAATAATATCACTTTTTCTATCGCCGCCGCCGCCGTTTTTATCTACATCATGGTCGTGTAGAAATACACACAGTTTTAAATTTTTAGAAAAATCTATGAAAAATTATTTTTGATAGTGACAGTACGATACGAAATAGAAAAAACTACCAAAAGTATAGATATATATTATACCAATTTATTATTTCACGGTTCGTTATCCGCGATGAAACTAATAATATTATTATATTCTCCCGGTGGAAATCGTCCGAGACCTCGACCAAACTATTGATAGATCCACTATCTGATGGCTAAAAATCTGCAGTCCATCTAACCGGTTAAATGTTTTAACAGTCCTACAAATGAAAACAAGTTAGGAACTAAACGGGCGTGCTAAGTTCTCAGTTTCTAAATGTATTCTAAACAACAAATTATAATTTTGAAAGAATTTAATAACCAAATAGGTATATTAAACTTATGATGCGTAGAAACCGGAACAAGTTAAAAATCTCAATTTGTGAATATTTGATAGGACATTTTTAAAATTCTTTAAGTATTATAATCATGTTTTGATGCCTACTTTTTGTTATTGGACTTAAAATGAAACAGGTATACAATTATAACATTATTTTTATTATTATTATTATTATAACTATTAGTTATTTATTTTATTTAATAAATTATTCTAACAAAAATACCGTTTCCACGGACGACGCGACGGTGAAAATTCTTAAGAAATGTCAGCTGTAAGTACACAGCCACGGCCTGTACCTATATATTATATACTGCCGTTCTACAGAGGTCGGGGACCAAGCGATTTATGATGTTTTTTTCATTTATTTATTAATTTCCACGAGCCGTAATTTCGTTCGACTCTACCCGCTGCTGTAGAAGGACCTTGATTGATATGATTAAAATTATACACTGTTGCTGGAAAAGCCGCAAAATTACACGTTGGGTGCCGCCAAAAACCTTGATGCGAAATCGGATTAAAAGTAAAACGATACAGTTGAGCAATACGATCGTGTCCTACCTGACCCTATTTTCGCCCTTATAATTCGATACTAATCCCATTTACTCCTTGCCTACGGTTTGATTGTAAAACATAAAAATAAAACAACACGTGCGCCTTACCACGAGAGATGACGTGTATAATACCGTCGTCCAATAAATTACACAGTCGAAGATGATGCGGCATCACGATTTGAGCCGAAGATTTATCGCGAAACACCATGATCATATTATTATTATACCATTTATTTAATTTTTATGCTTACCTTACACTGTTTTTGTCTATCAAATATTACGAAATTTCGATTCTCCCCCAATTAAATAAAACGCATTGAGCAAGTGAGTATAATACTTATATAGGGTGCTAAAATATGTCTGGCCTTTTACGTTATTTTATATCATCGCATAAATAATTCTAATGAGGACAAAAAACACGTTAAAGACTCGAGTAACGTGACTAAATGTCAATACCGTTAATTGGGTTCACACCGAAGTGCCGAGCGAATAATTGTATTGTCCTTATGACTCTAAATCACAAACCCATTGGATTATATTAATAATTATAATGTCATCACCGAACAAAATTTCTATTAGCTCAGTCTTTATCGTTTCAATCAACAGATATTCTCGTTTGATTCGTTAAGCTATAATAAAATTGTGTTTTTCTTCCGTTACGCCCATTTATCCAAGGACCATAGTATTTTATTTTAAAGTTATAATAATTTATAATTTTAATTTTTTTATTTTAGTATTACCTATTTATCTTTTCCCTGTAATGTGATCTCGTAAATTCTTCGAAAATATATATTTATACATTACTTTAATAATTAATTCCATATAATATGATAATATTAGGTTATCGTACCCTCTTTTAAGGATTTAATTTTGGTAATCCGACTTCAAGGTACACACGGACCCGTTCATCCGCTTCTGTGCGTAAATTATCAGACCTTTACATACGATAGATTCGGCTGTAGATCGTACTTATCTATACATACAAACAAAATAAACACTTCCTTTTATTATGACTAACGAAAACTAATTTTTCATTAATATTCAATACAGACATTCAATTATATAATTATATACAGTACAAAAGGTTCAATACTCAATAATTATTATTATGGAAGATGATTATAATACAAAATACGCATATTCTGTATTTTTATGATTTTTGAACGGTTTCCGATAAATTAAAAAATGAAATATTTAAACATATTTTTTTTTTTTTATGAATTGGTGTACATAATACAAAAAAAAATAAAAATAAAAAATGCGCATAAAAAAATTAGACATTGCAAATCAATTATTATCGTTTGATCATATGCGGTTTTGTGTACGTTTTTTTTCCTTTTTTTGTACAAAATATTTTATTTTATGCCTAATGTGCTTATAGATATTATCGCTCGAACTATAATGATATTTATATACGCGTGAAAATTATTGCTTATTCTAGCATGATGTTTGTTGCATGTGTAAGTGCGAGAAAGGACCATGTATAGGTATGAACGTCTTTTTACCCGCGTCGCATACGCTGTACACTAAAATAATAATAATAAACAATAATATATTATTATACGTGCTTTTTAACCGAGGTTAGGTCTTAACCCAGACTTCCACGAGAAGTTAGCCGTGATTTAAACTTCTGTGGGTTTATAACCGAGAAGATATTACGGTTGAATTTGTAAATTTACCACACTTGCTCCGCAGATACTTGCGTTCAATTTACGAATTACTGATTCGGTTGAAAAATCAAAATCATTTCCCGTCTAACAGTTCTACACAAAACGTAGCTCGTTCAACTAGTTAATTAGTCAAAATAGGTGTTATCCTGTACAATTAAGGAAACACAGAAATACAAAAATTAAAAATAGCCAAAATTCAACTGTCAGCTCCCATATAGAAAATTAAAATGTATAAATCTGGTTTCGATAATCTGGATACATCGTATGTATCGGACTTTCATCAGATATTTTAGAACACTACACCAAAAACGTGCTATACTATTTGTCGTAGAACCGATGATAATCATATTATGTAGTCATCATTTGTTTTTGTTTTAAATCTTCACACTCCACTCAAAAATGTAATTACCAAAATAGATTTCAAAAAAAAAAAAAAAAACAGATTAACTTTATCGTGTACTTTCCCGGTATAAGCGTTCAGAACAAATATTAGTTATTTTGTCTTGCGATTAAATTCATTTAATTATTTAAAGACATTCTATGAATAAACATTTTTACCATGCGTTTACATCGCAATATTTTTACTGCAAACATACCAGTTCAATTGCAGTTGTTGTCACGATGTAATACGGTATTATAAACAAGTGATTCTCGTATAGGTATTAGGTATTATACAGTAGTGGCAGATATTTTCACTATTGTTTTGTCCAAAGCGTTTTCTATTTCCGTGTGCCAATATAAGCACGACTATCGATGTATAATATACATTGTACGTAGTCGGTATAAATATCTACAGGCAGTACAAAAATAAATAAGCATCTCGTAGAAACGCAGAAACGATGACACGCCGTCGTGTCACGTCCTCATCTTGAATTTAAACCACGATAAGCTCATGTTATTAAATTAATATTGTAATAAAAAAAAAAAACGCATTTGATCGTAAACGTCGGCGAACGACGAAAAAAGTATCTAATATAAATACTCATATCGTACCGTTTTCAGTTAGTCACGTGCGTTTTGCTCCATCCTCCGTACAAACGCACAAACAAACTGGGAATTATGCATCATAAAAAGGCAATCTCACGTGGCTATCAGAAAGTGTCTCTGAAAAGTGATGAATAATTAGTGGTCACACAGTTTTCGGATTTACCAAATGATTATTCCATTGGATATTATAGTCTTGTCGTCGGTCAGCATACGAAAAGCGAAGATATCTCATAGTGAAAAAAAAAAATCAAATCAATTTTATTAATACTTTTCTTTAACATTTCGATCGTTCCTCAAATTTCACAACGAATCGCCCGCCGCTGTAAAACGTCTTCGCAGTGACTTTAACGGCCGACACTAAGTTGACGATATCGTTAATGATATTTATTATTATTGCGCATCATCTTTTTAGAACTCCGATTGTCTGGAGGCGAGGCCAGTGTTTTTTTGCAGCGGTCACAATTTGTACAATATAGAAGGGGGAAAGTGGTGCAGAATCATATTAAAACACTTAAAACAGAATAAAATTAATTTGCAAAGAAATGTTAGTAACGTTTTATAACAAAAAAAATATAAAAAAGAAAAACTTAACCATACTATTTTGCCTCTTAAACAGGATTGCCCCTCTTTCCTCAACGTCCGATCACAGACATTGTCGATAAATTACTTCTATGTGTCTGATTATAATAGATGTAGGTACCTACTATTTTAAAATGATAGTAATCAATTTTATATACCATCAGCGCTATACATTTTTTTAAATGTTTTATAAAATAATATATAACGTGTCATTAGTATAATTGTAATTATACATTTTACACCGTAATATTATTCAAATATTAGAAAATTTATTTGCTGATGCGCACATCCGATTATTAGAGCACAGATATACTAGCGTACAGAAAAAAGTAAAAATCTAGAATAATCTCCAGGTAGTTTGAATTCGAGTTTTTATAATTTATTTACCTACTTTTGTATGCATAGAGAAGACAATGCGTATACATGTATAATGCATAGTAACTACTCTTCCGTTTCCATTATTATTACGTAGATATTTTATGATTCCCATTGTAACGAAACGCAAATCTAGAGAACGTGATAGGAATATTTGTGTTTAACTTGTGATATTTTTACCATTATTGTCAGTATAATTTTCACATGGTATCTAGGTACATTTTTTTAAATTTGTTTATAACTTTTAAACATTTATTGAAAAAAAAATCCTTTAGACTGTTATGTTATAAAATTATCGTCCTACAATTCTACAAAACGTATATAATATTATTATAATTTTAATACATTTTATTGAATTAGATAGTAAAAATTGGAGATCAAAATTATTGGTTGTTTTTAATTGTGTAATTGTGTAATTGAGTTTAATGTGTAATTAAATTCATTAGAGTAAATTAGAATTGTCTTTTATTATTACTGATTGTCGTTATGGAAAATTATTAACGTTATAATTTCCAAAATTGTATCGTTTTTCATATACCTACGTAAATTATATCAGCTAATAAGCTGATTCTAACTTTCGATCTTTAAGCGGAAATTTTTAATTTTTAAAAAGATTATTTAATATATAATAGTATTACCAATATTGGTCTAATGGTTTATGAAAATACAAATATTTATTATAAAAGTTTAGACTAGCGGAACGGGTACAAGCATATAGATTTTATGCTATTTATTTTTAAATTAACCTACTTAAATATATATTTTTTGAACACGTTTTATAAACTGTTTGTCCAATATTTGATTTATCATTTATAGTAGAAACGGTTGGTATAATATTAGGTACCTATCTAAAAATGCATAAAATAATTCCTTCAAAAATTAAAATTATCCATCAACTAAAGAGAAATACGGGAAGAAAAAATGATATGTACGAAGGAAATAAATAAGAAAAGAGTGGAAAGGTAAAACCGAAAAAGAAATGATATGGTTAGATACGATTGAGAATGCGATTCAAAAGAATTGCTGGTCTAGCATTATGAAAGCTATGCAAACTGCAGAAACTTATCAAATTCCCTTTAAACCTGTAGAAACTCATCATAATTAGTAAATATAACCTTATGTGTACATTAATTTTATAATATATTATTATATTTGTGAGTCACTATTATAATATGCAAGTAGTAAGTATGACGCCGATAAAAAATATCAAGAGAAGAACATATTATTAAACACTATAATACTAGTGGAAAATGTATGACGCATGTATTAAATCATACGATATTGGGTTTTTTAATTAATAACCAACTATTGAGATATATGAGTTTAACGTGTTTCAGAGTATAAAATACTTAAACAATTTAAAATAATCTAAGAGTTACAAGAGTAAATATTCATAAGTTTAATTTTTATAAGCTAAACAAAATGTTAACTAGATAAATTGTGTGAAATATATTTATTACAATGTTTTGCACAAATCAATTATTCAATATAGTTTAATGCAGTATCGGATGGTTGGGCAGATAATGTGCTGAGATCTTTAAAAATACAATAAAATCTTGCAGTAAGAATACCTGTCTTAAAAAAAAAAAAACTATTTAAAATACTCTGTAGTTTCTAATTGAAAAAAAACTAAAAGATTTACCAATATATGTATTACCCTACGCCATATATTCAATCAGTCTAGTCAAATTATTTCTATAAAAATGTAAACTAACGCGAAAATTACATTCGTGTAAGGTACCAGTGAAAATAAACATTTTGGAAAAAATGTTTGGATTTTTTAGGTTTGTTTAACTTGATTAATTCAATGTCGCTGTTTCTGAAGAATAATATTTTCAATAATACATAAATATAAGTCAAGAACTTTAAATTTATATTGATGAGAAATTTTACATTAAGATTTTAAGTGTAAAGTAAATTATTGTGTGAATTAGTTATAAAACTAAATAATACTTTAAATGTAAGTATAATGTATTTTTTAATTGGACGAAAATCACGTTTGGCATTATAAGAAATAATTATCTATTCCAAACGTATAGGTTTTCAAAGGGAATACAAACATAACGAGTTATAAAAGAAATTACCTATAAGTATACTATAACATGCTACCTATATTACTTCGACAATTTTCAAAAGGAAGTATAAACGAGTCGAGATAAAAATATTCCCGACGGTAAAAGTGGAATGCGCGGCGTGTATAATATTAAGAAATGTCGGTATCGCGGGTCGGATCGGTTTGGCCAATCCGAACGGCTTAAGTCGGTTCACCGGTCAAACGGTGCGGGAAATATTTTACTCGAACGGCGTGTTATATTTTATTATGTATCGGTACAGCTAGGTATCTACCTGGTATATGTATAGGTACAAGTATGTGAAATCCGTCGGCAATGAGGCCTTACCGATTATCGTCACGGTGTAAAAGCCGTAAGGTCGTGTAAAGTCGCCCCGGAGACCATTAAAATCACGTCGGCCGAGACAACAACAGCAATAATAATAATGGCGGAACGGTTTCCCACGAAAGCCGCCGCCGTGCCGCGGGAAGTTGAGAAGTCGCTCACGAAGTGAGCACCAGCGTTCGTGTGCACGTGGCTGTACTTCCGTCCGTTAAACGCCGTTTATTAGAAACTCGGTTTACAAAGGATTTCGTCGGACGCGTAATACTAGTATTATATTATCCTGGGTCGGGTCCGACGACGATCGTTAATCGTAATAGACGTAATTTTTTTTCTTCTTCTATAGGTGTATTTTAATATACGAAGAAAATATATTACACAATCGAATGCATTTCGGTGTTTTTTGGGGGGAGGAGGGTGATTTTAAATTATTTTTGTCAAACGCTTTATAGATGAACGGTCTTAAATATACATTATAGAAGTTTTTTTAAACTGAAAAAGTGTAAACAACAATAATCTACTATTTTCAAAAAGAATTGCAAATATAATTCTTCTTCTGGTTCTGGCTGTAAAAGTTGTATTAGCCACCACTACAATAGCACGTCACATATCTCGCACAAATTCCGTCCGATTCACTACATCCAACGTTCTCAAATCGTCTTCTTAACCTACCGTCAAGTGTGGCCTTTTCTCTTGAATCACCTTAGAGCGGTTCAATTTATTTTAAACGCATATACAATATGTCCTTACCATTGAATCCTATGTCCCTCGATAAATCTAGTTATTGATACCGTATCCATCTGCAGTAACCTCTGTTAAATCTCTTTCGCCGGCTTCTTGTGACCATATCAAGTACAGGTTTTCCTATGTTTTAACGTACGGACGTAAAGCCAGAGCAATGACGAGCTTAACGAAATACATTTCAGAAATTTAATTTTAATAAATCTAGATTTCTAAATATTTCGAGAATTATGTTTGCATGGTCAACTATTTGTCTGTTATTCCAACAAATCTACGGTTTTATTTTGATCTTGATGTAACTTTGTACACTCGACATTCAAAACAAGAGAAAGATTGCTGTCTACTTTTCATATAGAAATTAAACTCCTAATAGGTGACTAGCACAGGGTTTTTGATATTTTTGGAACAAATTACTTTTGTTGAACTAAGTGTTATACCTTAGCCGCACGAATGGAAAAAAAGTTATTATATGATTCGGTTGTCACAGCTCACAGACAAGGAAGTATCCTTTATAAAAGATAGAAATTACCGGGAAACGATTAACTTGGATAGGGATAATATTGGTAACTGAGAGACACGTTAAATTTAAAATCTTTTATTGATCTCTGTTTTTGAAAAGATTGAGCTCAGGAAATACAGGGCTGGTCAATTATATTAAAAATAAAAAAAACTAGTCGAGACCTGTTATTATTATATCGTCGTGGTGTCTGGCATCGTGACGTTAACGCGAATCGATGACAATATTATTATTACATTATTATGTTTGTCGATACGACATCTGTTTACAATATTATATTGTCGTCGTCGTGATTTATAACAGCTTCTGTATCAAGAACTGCGCACCAACCAAGGTCCGGTTGATCCTAAAATCACGATGCGCATTTATACCGCTGCGAGTGTACAATTTTTTTTTTTTCATCTGTAAAGACGAAATCGTTATTGACACCTGCAATGGACTGTGTCGAAACGGGCGCGCGTAGTGTATTGACGATATAAAAAATTATTCATCACAATTTATTTTTTTTATTAAAAAAGAAAAGAAAAAACCTCACGTCGATCATAAATATAATAAAATAAAAAACGTGTGAACGCTTCGTGGCCATCATTATGTTGTGATTTTAAATCGAATTTTTATTTAAAAAAAAAAAAAAAATACCGATAATAATACTATGTACAACGGTTGTGAATTTAGCGACACGCTAAGTTTTATTTTTCTATTTTACGAGCACAGCACGAAAACTCGAGTTGTCACGGCGAGAATAATTTAATAATATATTATCCTAATGATAATCCGATCAAAAAAACTGATAAAAAACAAATTTATAACTATGGGTTTTTCGATACTGGAATAACAGGTAATTCGATGATAATATATTTTAAATCGATAACCATATCACGTATCACTTTATTCGGAAGTTTGTTCGCTAATTAACTATCTGGCAAATAACTGTGCAATAAATTATGCGTTATTTATTACACGTTTATATTTATTTTTTTTAAATAATTGATGTTTTCCGTTGGAATTCGAACGTATCTTTACATCTTCTAAATATATGTAATGTACACAAAAAAGTAAAAATATTATACATATTTTATCATAGGTATCATAGGTACACGTTCCAACTCTCTCTCTCTGTTTCTGTTCAACGTGCATCTGCACGAGTGTATAGATAATGTTTGAGAGTTATTCTTCTTCTGTACATATAATATTATAATAGGTAGTCTGAATAATATAGGTACCTATATGTAATAGCCAAATACCACTGACTCGTCACTGTATCTCTAGAACGACTGGGTCTAAAAACTTGAAATTTTGGTTTATTTATATCTTTGATACCACGAAAGAAGTTATTGAATCAATTTTTTGCATTTTATATATATATATATAATTTCGTTTTATGGTTTTTGTTCACCTTTATTTTTTTTTATCTAAATGGCAAGGTGTACATATTTTCAAAATTAGCGATGTATATATTATTTAAAAATGTAATTTCATTATATTGAAAACTATAGAAAATATTTTATAATAATATTTAAAGAAATGCAATAAGAAGAGACTTTTGGAAATTCGACCCTTTAAAAAGGACGAAGAATTTTTTTTATACACGAATATTTTGTCGGACAGAAAATTTGGATGAATAAACAGGCAATTATCAGATAAAAATCGTGGAGACAATTGAATTTTATTTTATAAATTTTTGTCGGTTGTTCAAGATAAGGATAGTTAAACGGTCTAAAAATATATTGTCATTTAAATGCTCACAATATCGTCTAGTATATTATAAGAATATACTTTTAATCCCAGGGAAGAAGAGCTTAAGTCAAAGTCAATCATGTCATACTTTTCAATACAAGCAAATTACTATTTGGCATAATGAAATAATTACTTAATTAAGCCATTTAGTTATGGCTAATTTACCTAATATCCAAAATCTATCCTAAATGCAGGCATTCTAAATGTCAAGTCAAATTATTATATGACTTACACCTTTTTTGCTAAGCAAAAAGTGCATCATAGTGACTTTGGACATATTCATTTTTTAGTGTAACATAAATTAGAATATATATGTATACACATTTATACTAATTAGAATAAAAAGTAAAGTGAAAAAAAAATTCACGAGAAGAAATTATAAAACAAAAAGAAGTGTTAAAAATTCACTTAAGTCTTTCATCTCTAGGACCAAAAATGTAAGTGCCATGTTCGTGTTTATAGAACCAGTATTTAATTTCGATAATATAAGATAAATAAAAAGAAAAAAAAAAATTAAAACAGAAACAAGAAAAACGTTCGCAGAGTTATGGTCGGGCCTATACAGTGTAAGTGGTTATTATTACACGAACGTGTGTGCAAACCGTAAATTAGTTACGGAGTACACTTCCAGTACGTCGTCGTTTGTTACATAAAATTATATTTTACTGTAGGTGAAAATATTAAAAAGTTTAATAACGAGTTTTTTTTATTTTTTTTAAATTTGAACATAAACGTACTGAATTATTATTATTATTCGTTCGTTCCTATGTTGTAGTCATTTGGATAGGAAAACGCAGCTATATTGACGACATAAAACTGCGTAAGTCGAAATGTTGTTTTTTTTTTTCGTCAAATTTTTAAGTCTGCCACAGTTTTCGCTTGTCCTGCGAAATTATTTGAAATCGTCTATGAAATTTTACCAGGTAGCCAACGATATTTATAACGGTTTTAACCGAGTCATAGGTATATTTCGTTTTCATTCACGTGTTCACGCATGAATAACATTTTTATAAAACAACCTTGAATGGACCGCAAAACAAATATACGATAAAATTAAATGTATTTTTAATTAAAATTAAACAATAAATTATAAAAATAACGGTATTGGCTAATTACATATTTAGGAATTTTTCATTAGGGAGGGGGGGGGGGGGTAAAATACATTTCCAAAGGAAGAACCATTAGAAGCAACCCCAACCATCAATATCCCCCACAATATAAACACATAATAATAGGTATTCAAAAAAAACTATGTTGAGGTCTATAATTATGACAGATTTAAGATAATCATAGGTATAATCTTTTTATTCTCCTTCGCCTTTATCCCAACTGTGTGGGGTCGGTTACCTTCTTCCTAAACGTCCACTTGATCCTATTTTCCACATCATTCTCTGCAAACGCACCATCTGTCTTCATGTCTTTCTCAATCACATCCAATCACCTCTTTTTCGGTTTTCTTCTTCGCCTTTTTCCTCCTACGTTTATTTTCCAAAATTCGTTACTAATGGTATAAATCCATGGAAAAATTCAGTTATCAAAAACTAAAATAAATATCTTCAAGTTTTATATTTTTCAAGGAGCGTGGTATAATGTAATATTCGGAAAAATCTCAAAAAAATAACCGGATTTCGGGCATAATTTGGTGCGGAAAATTGTCGAAAATCCTAATGGTACTTTCAGAATTTTTTTACTCGTGTCCTATTTATATATAACTATAGGTACCGGACGTACCTATAGTTTTTCATAACTGTAAATCAAGGGATATTTTCTGCTCGGCGAATTTACTCAGGGCCACAATTCAGAGTATACATGACTTCGTCTTTCTTATAGTTTTGCTAGGCCTTCTAAAACGATCGTCATTTGTAACCGATTTTTTAACGTTTGTGCGTTCTCGGATTGATTGCAGACACTTAATATAATAATACATACAACTGCTGTGCACTGATACGACTTCGCGATGAGTGGCATTTGCAATTGTCCGGTAACCCAGCCGGGTCCGACGTTGGCCAGCACGTGCGGCGGGTCGGCGTACATGCTGTTCATGGGCTTGTTGGAGGTGTTCATCAGATCACAGTGCGACATCGAAGACCCGTGCGGCCGCCCGGTGTCTAGGGCGTTGCCGGACAGGGAATACGATTTCATTGTCGTAGGCGGCGGTACGGCGGGCAGCGTAGTCGCCAGCAGACTTAGCGAGGTGAGCGAAACACATAGTAATAATAAAAGTATTCATTAATTCGTATATCGTGTTGTACGTTATCACTCACGCTTACGAAATAATTATCTTTCGTAACCGCCCGTCGACTGTATGATCCTTAACGTAAAACGCTCATTTAATTGGTATGATCATATTCGGAATTGTTGGGTCCCTGAAAACCTTATCAATTTTTCTTAAATGTGAAAATTCGCAACGAAACTTACTCTTACAAATAATAAATTTGCACGTAGGACTTGAACTTGTTTTCCCCCCTAAAATCAAATGTTGTGGGAGCAGTGCACTTCCCGCGGTGTTTGTATACAGTAGTACAATTATATTTTTGTCGGTATAATAACTTTCTAATGCTGAATAGTTTATTTTAGAATCTTAACACATCCAATGGGGGGGGAGGTGAAACCACCTTATCGCCATATAGCCCCTCTGGGCACGCCTCTGTGTGGTAGTCCACAAATCAAACTCTGAGCATAGCTTAATCATTCCAACTAATTCACTCTGTCTCCTATATACAAATAATTACAAAATACGATTTTTACAACGAAGTCGTTTTTTTTTTTTTTTTTTTAACTCTAACAGTTATTTAATGTGTTTTAAATTTGTCCTTGTTTTACTTATTCGCCTGCTTTAGATACCACAATGGAAAGTGTTGTTGATCGAAGCGGGTGGCAACGAACCTACAGGGACGCAAGTTCCGTCAATGTTTCTCAATTTTTTGGGCTCGTCGATCGATTGGAGTTTCAACACGGAACCCGAAGACCAGGCTTGCCTAAGTAGTCCGGAGAGACGATGCAACTGGCCCAGAGGAAAGGTAATTTTGACTTTGTATAATATTATGTATTCGTATACTGTTCAAGAAATGTTGCTAACAAATAGGTATTATTATGAATCAATATAGAATATGGTTTTTGTTCGGAAATCTCGAATTACAAAAATAATAACTAAGGGGTCTGCGTGCCACCAATTTTTCTTAAAAACATGATTTCTTGATTTAAAAAAAAAAAATATGCGCCTCGAAAACTGGTTAGATTTCAATTATTTTGTTTTGTCACGAAAATAAAAATTATTTATAGCATTTAGCGTATTGAAATTGCACTTTAAAAATATTATTTAATCGCTATAATCGAAGTTTAAATTTTCACAATTATTAGGTTTTTTTTTTTTGGCTATTAAACTGTAGGAACTAGGAAGTTGACAAAAGAAAGAAAGACATGTTTTTTGTTATAAAACTGTAGGAAGCTGACAACTTCTTAATAACAGAAAACAAAACTAATCGAAATCGAATTGCTTTACGAAGTGTGATAATTTTTCCATATAATTATCACGCTCAACCACTTTATATCAAAATTAAGACCTACTGAACTACGATTTGTTAAGACATGTAAATGTTAACAATTTATAAAAAAAAAAAAAAGCTACGAGCAGGATCATGGAGAAATTTAAAAAAAAAAACAATGACCTATTTTTAAAGGTTAAAACTGAGGTGTATATTATACTGCAGTGGATATTCTCTGTGCAGAAATAATAATAATTAGCCGGTGTACGGTTAAAGAACAAAACGCTAACGAATTATATAAGAAAGTACCTGTATTATATTTTATATGTTTTTAACGAGAAATTGTTTCAACACACACTATACCTACCGACCCGTTAAAATATTATAAGGTCAACAGTGTATTATATATACCTAGTTTTCTTCCTGTCGACCGCGATTACGTAATCAATCTATTTTTTAGTTTTATTTTTAACAAATACGGTCGACGTGCAATGTAATATTAGTATCGCACAATTAAAAACATATAAATGGTTTAAACGAACAAATGAATCTGTAAATGTGTACAGATCGATATTAGTGTTTATACCTGTAATATATGTAATTTATTAATTCGAATTAGATATTATATGTTCATATTTTTTTTACTCAAAATGTCGTTTACCGAGAGTATTTTCTGCGACGACGTACCAATACGTACAGATAACTTGCCCCCACCTCCTCCCCCTCATTTAAATACACCAGTCAAGTTTTTATCTTAAATTCAAATGGCTGAATGGACTGCTCCGTACACTACCGGCTACAGGTGGTCTAATTCCGGAAATAAATATCAACAGTTTTAAATTACGAGAATTTCCGCGGCACGGTAATGATGATGATAGTTAAAAATGTTCATTACACTGTCCATTATTTTGTTCGTTTGTCTAATAACGAGTCAGAAAAAAAAAACGATATCGCCTGTTGTCCGTATTATAGAGACTTATATTCACCCAAATAAATTACTACAGTTCCGATTGATAGATAAGGAAGTACGGTGACGGGTCAAATTTAGTCGATGATTATTTGTTTTGTCTTTTGTACACTACGGCGGATTTAAATTTGTTCATTTTATATGGTTACTTAGGTACCTATAAATTGTAACATTAAATATCGTTATGTATCCGTACATCCGTCACGTCTTTTCACGTCTTTGTTTGGTACTTACAATTATCGCAACATCGTTGTCGATTTGATATTACACAAATCTTCGTGACTTAGTCGATCAATTTTATTCAAATTCGATGATAATTTTTGTAATTGATTTTAAAAGAGCTTATTCGAATGCTTATAATATATTAACATATTCTTTTTTCGTGAGTTCACATATTCGAATATCAGACGTCCGCATAAATAATACATTACGATTTCGTTTTCGTTCTAAAAGAATAATGTTTGTTAAAAATACAAGTATTTATGCGTTAAAACTATATGAAGGTTAAACAAATTTTGCATTTTATATTATATATCATTATTAGCTATAATATTTGTAATTGAAATGTAAAATAGGTACCGTTTTTTATCTCGTTTTTAAATGTTCGTTAGAATCGTGTCGTTCAAAAAAAAAAAAAACGGATTTTCATGAGTGTTATGTAATAATAATATACATTTAAAATCCTTGAATTTTACAGCTTTTTTTTTTTTTTTTGATCAATATTCCTATAAATTAATTAATGGGCAAGATATTATATCATTATAACCTTCGTCTAAACGCAATATTTGTTTATGTGTACCTACCTATAATTTTAAAATTTCTATACTTACAAAGTACGATTACGAATACGTTCGATGCGAGTATATGGTAAGTCACGATATTATTGGTTTATTATTATTATTATTATTAAAACATTCAGGTCAAAACATTTTAATAATTTGTATATTATATCCATTAAAATTTCCAAACTAAGATCATCGGGCCATAAACCATCCGTGGTTGTGGTTTCTATTTAGAAAATATTTAGGAACTCTTTTTTTTTTCTTTTTCTTTTTAATCACTGCGTGTTTTATGATGAAAATTATTTGATATTGTTGTATATACTATATAGTCTATATAGGAGGTATACCTACTGAATGAATATTATAAACCATATTTTTTTAATAAGCATATGCATTTGGCGCGACAGACTAGAAACAATATATTGTGATCGAAATCAATCGATTTAAACATTGAGGTTTTTTTATTTTTTTAAATATATTTGTTCATGTCACATCCATTCGGTGAAAATGTCCAAATTTGTGAAATTTCTATACAATTAATTTCGGTTAATTCATATTTATTTACCCAGTTAATTGTTAAACTTTTATAGAACACCAGTGTTGAATTCCAATAAATAAATAAGACCATCGACAAATGTGTGATAAAAGTAAAATATTGTAATAATTTATTAGTAACAATTACTAAACAATCAATAAAACCAAAATAATGTTGTGAAAAAAATCATGTCGAATTTATTCTATTTTACGAAAACATTCATGATATTTTCACAAATTGCATAAAATATAAAAATCAATATTCTTTTCATAAAACGAATAACATTTCGGTAAAAAATCATTTTTCTAATTGATTTTCCGGTCGGTCTTAAAAATTGTGTCCAAACAGTTCAAAATAATAACTTTTTGCTGGTACTTATTTAGTACAGTATAATTACTAATCAAAACCTACGTCCGTTTAAAGGTTTAAAAAAAAACACAAATTCATATACAATATAATGTCTGCTGACGTATATTTGAAAAAAGTGAATAAAATGATATACATTGTAAATACCTTTTGATCTATGCATAATCATTCTTTTATCATCATGATCCATTGCCATAATTATGAACGAATTATTTTCCTTCCTTACTCCCTCGATAAAATTCAAAATTGCAATAACTCGAAAACGATAAATTGAAATTGTTTGAAAAAATATTATTTTTTTGTATCCTTGTTGAAAAGGAGAGTTGCCATTTAAAAATCAAAAGTTGATACTTTTTTAAGTTATAAGGAATAAGGGTAAAAATTAGAAAACTGTACCAAACTAAAACCTTTAAACAATTCTATAGGTATAACAGCAATGGATGAAAAAAACGGAAATCAAATTTACTTAAAATCTTCCGAAAAAAACGGTAGAACAAGATAATAAAAGAATCACCGTATATAATATTATAATATATTTTCGTTTGTTTAATTAAATACACACGTATTTTAATTGCTAACGAATTTACTACCTACACGATAATTAATTATATCGTGTACTTATGCAAATATTGTAGGTGTTATTAAAAAACAGTCCATATTATAATATTATATCACCTATAATGTTATTTTAATTAGGTAGGTATAAGTACCGTTAAATTATATTCTACCTATTTTAAATAACAAAAACATTTGTGAACCTGTATATAATATTATAATTCTCCGTCAGTCCATTGACCATTATGGTAATTTTATTTTTATTGTGGCAAAGTCGCGTCGATAGCCTGATTGCGTTTTTGTAAACGGAAATGATTAACTAGATACACGAAACGCTAAAAAAAAAATCATTTAACTGTAAACAAACAAATTAACCCCCGTTAAAAATTAACACTAGGATGATAAATTATTAAAAAAAACTCCCTACGAATTTAAATACAACGCTTCATTACTTATTGATCTTATTGTACTTTTATATTTTGTTCTGTTAGTTTGTCCATCTATTAGTTGCAGTGTTCTAGCGTAACGGAAACAAATTTTTGAGAGTGGGATTTTGGAATTGCTTCCGCATCACTGCATGCAGTTCAGTCAAGTTCGAAGATGCGTGCAAACCAAACCTAACCTAACCTAACATGTTACAGTTAGCGTATACACTTACGACAAATCGTCTTTCGTAAAATTTTTCAGACTATGAGCGCAAAGATGCGTGTGGTTTGTAAACTGTATTTGTTCTATCTGTGAAAAACTTTTCTAACCGAAATTTTCCTCCGAACTTCAATGGTAACATCTGAAAGCAATTAGTTTCGTGTGCATTAGGAAGTTTTTCGTTTTTCAGTAGGTACCTACATTAAAATACGTGGTACTTAGAGGCGGCGTACGAAACATTAATCGAAATTTTCAACAGGTACACTCTATTATAACCGACCCTTTTTTTTTTTTTTTTTTTTTTGTTGATTTCCGGGTTACAAGGGAAAAATCAACGGCTAATTATTATTCTCCACTCGAAATTGTTTTTCGTTTAAAATGACTTATCATTGCACATACATGTAAATAAACTTTATCGCCTACACTATATATATATATATATATCGTTATACACCTTGCAAACTTCCCGCCCACAACGGTGGCCAACCCATTAAATCGTTTTCCAATGTTATTGATGATGAAATTAACGTTTATAAACGTGAAATCTCTAGTTCGAAAAAGACCGATCGGTAAAATTCAATTTAGAAAACAGTAATCAATAGCGTTATTTCTATCAACTGCGAGCGAGATAAACATCAGTTCATTAACGAATGGATAGTAAATCATCGTTGCATGCCTCTACGGTGACGTCCGACAGAACTGCAGTTGTACATTGGAGTGTTTATAAGTATATAATAATGTGTACCGCACACACAATATACTATACGAAACACATTGTTGGACTACCTTGGTATTATAAAAGTGTGTAGATAGTTACAAAAAATATCTATTAGCTTAACCGTAGGAAGAAAAATAACTAATAATTGGATTTGACCGAGTGGTTTTTTCCCTTCTATTATATTTACAATATAGTTATTGGTACTGCGCAACAGGTAGGTTCGATTTGCATTATCTTCCGTTTCTTCCGTTATTTCGCCCACACACTGCGGCTGTACGCAAAAAAAAAAAAAAAAAAAAAACGTTACCGCTATAATATAGATGTACGTACTGGCCGGGACTAAAAAAAATCAATTTAAATTTGCCGTCCGCACGTTTTACATCACAACAACAACAACAGTATGTCTCCGAATCGGTATTACAATAAAAATATATACGTATATGTGTTTAGGTACCGTTACGAATCCGACGCAGTCGTTTATGAATCCGTTTTTCGAATCTTAACTTTCCATCGAGACGACTTTCCATCGTATATATAATAATATTATACATTAAGCTTCTTAATAGTTTTCCGTCTCCGCGGGTCTATTGTACACCCGATAGCCGTCGTACAGGTTCATTATAAAAAAGAAAAAATTACCCGCTCCGGGTGGATGTATATGTAGTTAGTTGCGTACCTACGTCATTGCCCGTGTAGTTCATTAATCCTTGTCCGAAAACGACGGCGACAGTGTGTCGTATATATTATTATAACGTCATAATATTATATATACATTATTATAAAAATGGCCGAGAAAGCCTTATTCTATGAGGTATAAGTGTTTCGGTCAATATGATATTACGTTTGCAGTTATTCATTATGCTGTTGGTAAATATCGGTGACGGCGGTCGTTTTGTCTCGAATTTTCGAAAGGGACGGTATAATAAAATATTACGAAAGCGACGAGTTATTTTTTTTTCTCTCAATGAAGTCTCAACGCTGTCTAAATATTGTTTCAGAAAAAAAAAAAAAATAATAATAATAATAATAAAATAAAATCACCAAAATAACATCCACAGTTATTTTGCTTTCGCACACATTTGACTGTACCACACACAAAAAGTGTTTCGTTCCGGGAGGAGGGCAAATCTTACGTCTTCCCCTAGCATTGTTTAGCACACGCTGGTCATTTCCCAACGATTCTTCTTTCTCGCATTCGTTTTTCCGCCTGTCCTCCACACGCGATCAAACCATTCTGAACTTTTACCACAGATACTGAGCACCCATTTATGTATACCGGTTTGAACACGTCTGCCGGCGCGTAATGTTTCGCTGGTTCGCGTGTACACATTGCCTGTATGCTCGTAAATACAACAATTGCGCATTTATGTAAATGTGTTCATAATTAATAATATCGTGTTTACATGGACAATAAAACTGCAACGGCGTCGGACGGTCGCGCTGTTTTTTTTTGTTTTTTTTTTTTTTTTACGATTCTCGGCGAGATCATCCGGTCCGTGTTCGTTCGGTAGTTCCATATTACACACACGTGTATTCTATTATGCGGGCCCGACAATGGACATGCGCCGGTATCGGTGTTACGTGATAATAGTGACGAAAATACAAAATTGACTGTTCGCGCGCACAATATGAACGCGGATAGTATCCAACGTATAGTAAATGCTATTTATAATTATTTACGCGCAACATAATAAAACATAGGCAAGCGCCATTAGAATTGAGCAACCGGACAAACGAAAACGAGCGGTTTACCCGCGATTAAAAATCGATCTGCTATTATTTACTCGTGCGAAAAACGGGTTATTGACTCTGATCGCGGCGACAACAACAATAATAACATTACATACCGTACTCGTGTATGTATTGGTACATTGCCGGCGATATGGAAATGTGGCCCGGACAAAATGGTAGACAAAGGCCGTTTTAACGGGGTGAAAAAATGTGTGACGGTGTAGTTCCGACGAGAAACACAGAAATAGGTACTCGCTACTCTTTCTCTCTGTCCAAACCTGTAAGTGGAATATCTCGTCAACGCGTTGGCGAGAATCAAAAATATCAGCGTCAAAATGGATTCAAAGTAATTTGAACGTAATCCCCGAAAATAAGGACGACAAAAAATAATGGTACTGTAACATTTTAACGCTATAAAGGTACTTGTTTCTTAAGTTCAAAAAAAAAAAAAACAAATACGAACCAATTTTATGCTTTCCGAGATATCGAAACGATAATATCTTCGTGGGACACTCTGTATATAAATACTTGTACTTATGAAAAAAACTATGCAATGAGGTACATACACTGAATATCGTTTTTTGAACTTGTCAAATTATATAATTATTGTTTAATAAATGTGTAAGTATATGTATGTGGAAAAACAATTTATTTTTATGGATGACACGTTTTCGAATTTTCGTTATGGGCGTTTTAATAATATTATAAATATTAGGAAGACAGACCTAATTTTCAACCAAGCTAATAATATTATCTGTCCTAAACCTGCAAGCGAGAAGGAAAATCGTCAAACAATTTGTTTCAAACATTTGTTGAACCAAGAGCCGTTCGAACACAATCTATTTTTGATTCGCGTACAGTTCGAACATTTAATTCAGATACAACGCGCAATTCGACCATCCCGATTATAACCGCATTGACTGGAGACGCATCAAACTCGAGACGTTCTCCGCGGTGGCATTTTTCTAGTTTTTTTTTTTTTTTCTTTTTTGCCGTGCTTATAATACACCTCCGTTCCGGTAATGCGTACCGTAGTATAAGAGTAGTAAGGTCGTCGATACAGTGATTTCGCACGCAGACTTGACACCGGTGCCCAGTCCACGACTCCAGTCGGCGATATACCGCAGCCGTGACATTTATTATGCAAACGTCACGTCGACCTTCGTTCCCCATATAGCTGAATTTATGTTAATTATGCATTTTTTTTTCTCTCTGTTTGTATGTTAAAGATTTCGAGTTTCAAAAAAAAAAAAAAAGAAATGTATAACTGTGCAAATCTCTATATATCATGGGTAGCGCACTTTAATCGTACGTACCCACGTATAATATAAACGTAACGTGTGTACATACATTATTCTATTAATCTCATTGTTTTAAATTTACTGTAAATTTTAAATTCACTGTACAAAATACTTCGACTAATCGGTTATAATAATCATATCTTAGAGCGTTACTATTAATTCGAGTAGGTAATTTTATTTTATTTTTTTCAATTTATGAAAATGTCACTTTAGTTTTAATTCACTACCTACTTTAATTTAAAATTAAAATAAAGTAGTAATTAAAATTAATTTAAGATTAAATAAAATCGATGTATTTTTTTTTATAAATAAATCAAAATAAATATTTTCAAATAAATTTGATTGATTTTGTTTTTGGTTTTTAAAAATATAAAATTCTAAATTAAAAAAACTGGGTTGTGATAAGTAAAATTAAACAAAACATGAAATTCAGGTAGACCCTTCTAAGAAATGGGGAATCGAAAAGATTCGGGCTTTTTTTTTTATGTAATTCGGATGCAGTACGGAAAGCATCTCTGAAAGAAAGTCCAATGAATGACGAGTTTACAAACATATGTATAATATTAATTAATTCTAAAAATAATCACAATTTTTAAAACACACAGTATTATACAACCTATAAAAAATTACAAGTCCTAACCTAATATTTTATTTCGCAATTTGTTTTAAATTGTCACTATAATGATTATTATACGCGAGCATATCTCCAGATGCCTAATTGACAAATTGTCACCTTGACAACCTAAATTAGTCTCGCATTTTGATCATGATTTTTTTTTTTTTTTCATTATTTATGTAAACAATGTGAATAAATTTTAACGAACGTTTTATATTGTGCATGTGCATATGGCTGCAATTTTATTTCGCTTTATGAACCACAATTTTTTTTGAATATAATATATTTAGCATCTATAATTATAAAAATTATCGAATTTAAAAAATGACTAACATTACTGATAGATGTGCCAGTGTTTAAGAAGGAAAACTTTCCATTATCGCCAAGGTGACTCAGAAATCAACAAAAATTATTTAAAAAAATGTTAGTTTTAGATTCTGACTGGAACGTGGAATGTAGTGTTTTTACAATGTTTGTTATTATTATTATTTTTTTTTATCTGTGAACAACTTTTCTACCAGTAATTTTGCCCCGATTTACAATGATAGCACTTTTTCTGAAAGGAAATCTGCCTGGGATGGTACTTTAAATTGGTAATATTTTTATTTTCCCAGAAGTTTTTCCAATAAATTGGAAAAAACCGAGAGAAAACACGGGAAACCGGAAAAATAAGTACAATATCAAATAAATATTATTAAAGAAAATATACAATGCATAAGTAATTATTTTACCATAATATGACATATATATTATTGACAAATCGACACCTATCAACCGAACTCCGCTCAGAATCGTTTTTTCGTCGGCGACGGTTAATCATTTCGTACAGAAATACATTATATTTCTCGTCTACTCCTTACCAACTTCTCACCTACAACAGTGGCCCACTCACATGCAAAGTATATCCGTCTTTTTCTTAATTATTGAGAAAACTATAAGAAAATTTTTAACCTCCTTAGTACATAAACTAGATTGAAAATTCTACAAGAAAGTCTCTAAAAAGTTTTTTACTGTAGTAAGATTTCTAGTGGAAAAGTTGTTTACAGGCACAAAAAAAAAACACACAATATCCTTGTGAAACCAATAACCTCGCTTCGCTCAGAATTTTAAAATTAATTAATAAAAGCTACCAGTACATTATAATATGTAGGCATGTCTAGTTAAAAAATTTAACGGTGTATATTATAATTATTACTGTACAGTCGCGATTCGAGTTTTTTTTTTTTTTTTTTTTATTGCAAACCTAGTCGATGATGTCATAAAATGTCGAACAATTATACTGTCAGACTCTAGACAAATAATATATCTATTATTAAATATATTATCTTACGGTATTCGTTGTACCATATAGTTCATAGTATACCATATAATATCCAATCAAGATTATGAAAGTGTTTATACATACAGGTATAATTATACTTTTTTAGCAGTATTTTTTGCGTACGTGTACGTTAAATCCTAATAAATACCTATGCATAGGTAATATACAGCTATAAATCGTATTATTATTGTATGTGCAATAGTAATAAGGTTAGTATTACACTGTTGGGCGAAATTTCCGTAGCCAACGAGAACGAACTGATCGATGGAAGCGAATTTAACGTCAGTAGGTTCCTACAGGGTGAGAGATGAAACACTTCATCTTTGCACAAGTTGTAGTTATCATTGCGCAGACTCAAAAACGTCTTCCGGTACTACGTAGAACAGCTCTTTTTTTTTTTCTTCATATTTTTCTTACATTGGTACGTAAACATTTATTAGATCTACATCCGTGGTGTATCAGTTATTAAGGTTATGGTAAATATGGTAAATATTCTCAGGTCGATATCCTTAAATTCTCTTACTGTACGTATAATAGATTCATGTATACTGAAAATCCAGTTCCGAATTGTTGATTACAATTATTTATAGAGCCTCCCGTTCGATTTTTTTCTCATTATAGTTTTGCGTTTTTTGCTCTTTTCCGGATAAATATGTCCTGTACATGACACTGGGGCTCGGATTTAATGTAGCATTTGTTAATTATTGTAGGATGAAGATAAAAACGGCACCGGTCTTGGGGCGGCCCTGACTGCAATTACAGACATTTCTTTGTAATGGGTATTTAGTACGTGTCCCCGTCGTACACTTGATCGATTCGGTGATTTTTTTTATACACCCCAAAACCTGTCCGAAAATTCACTGCGCCGGTTTACCGTCGCGATCGCGCTGTTATGATGCATGGAAATCACACACTCGACACGATTTCATAATACGTATGACCGTTTTACATTGTAGGTGTTGGGCGGCACGAGCGTGATGAACGGTATGATGTACATGCGAGGCAGCAGACACGATTTCGACAACTGGGCCAAGCTGGGCAATCCCGGCTGGAGCTACCAAGACGTGTTGCCGTACTTTTTGAAATCCGAAGACAACCAACAGGCCACCGTGATGGACGCCGGTTACCACGCGGTCGGCGGCCCGTTGCCCGTATCGCAGTTCCCGTACCACCCACCGCTGTCGCACGCGATTCTCCAGGCCGGACTCGAGTTGGGGTATCAAGTGAGAGATCTAAACGGCGCGCTGCACACGGGATTCGCCATCGCGCAGACCACGTCCAAAAACGGTTCGCGGTTCAGCGCATCCCGGGCGTTCTTGCGTCCGGCCAAAAGCAGGCCCAATCTGCATTTCATGTTGAACGCCACGGTCACCAAAGTGCTCATTGACCCGAAAAAAAAGACGGCGTACGGCGTCGAGGTGTTCAGAGACGGACAGACCGACCGCCTTTTGGCCAGAAACGAGGTGATCGTGTCCGGCGGCGCGGTCAATTCGCCGCAAATACTCTTGTTGTCCGGCGTCGGTCCCAAAGAAGACCTCAAGAAGGTGAACGTGCCACTGGTGCACGATTTGCCGGGCGTGGGTCGCAATCTCCACAATCACGTAGCGTTCTTCGTGAACTTCAACATCAACGACTCGTCCACGACGGCCCTGAACTGGGCCACGGCCATGGAATACTTGTTGTTCAGGGACGGTCTGATGTCGGGCACCGGCATATCCGAAGTGACGGCCATACTTCCGTCGAAATTCGCCAATCCCATGGACGACAACCCGGACTTGCAGTTCTTCTTCGGCGGATATCTGGCCAACTGCGCGAAAACCGGACAAGTGGGCGAAAAAGAAAACGAGAACGGCAAACGGTCGATTAACATCATACCGGCCGTGTTGCACCCCAAGAGCCGCGGGCAGTTGAAACTGAAATCGTCCAATCCGCTGGACCACCCGGCCATTTTCGCCAAGTACCTGACGCATCCCGACGACGTGGCCGCGCTGATAGACGGCGTGAAAATCGCCATCCGGATGTCGGAGACGGTGGCGCTGCAGAAGTACGGCATCGAGCTGGACCGGACCCCGACCATGGGTTGCGAGGACATCGAGTTCGGCTGCGACGCGTACTGGGAATGCGCCATACGGCGAAACACCGGGGCGGAAAACCACCAGGCCGGCAGCTGCCGGATGGGACCGCCCGGCGACCCGGGCGCGGTCGTCGACGCCGAGCTAAAGGTGCACGGCGTCGACAGGCTCAGGGTGGTGGACGCTTCGGTGATGCCACTGGTCACGTCGGGCAACACGGCGGTGCCGGTGATCATGATCGCGGAGAAGGCGTCCGACATGATCAAGCGGCGGTGGGTCGGCCGCAAGCCGTGGAACAAGTGGTAAGCTCGGCGTTTCCGTTTCGCACACCGTCACTCACCGTCGTATATTTTTTTTCTGTTTTTTTTTTTCTTTTTTTTTTTTTCCTCCGCCACACGCCCACACAATACACACAAGTGCCTACAACCCGTTCGATTCTCGTGTCGCAACACGCACAAACTGTACATAGTCACGGGCAGAATGCAACGCAATCGCGAACCGCTCTGCAAGCCCAATAATAATAATAATAATAATAATAACAATAATGATAACGACAAACGGCAGCAACGAGAATCGATCCGATCAAACGGACCGCCGCACACCGCAGTCGCCGGTTTATTCGCACCACGAGCATTGATTTTCGTATTTTTTTTTTTTTTTTTTTTTTTTTTGTATTTCTCTCAACACGCCTAATTTACGTATTAATACTACGAAGACTGTTATTTTTTTTTACAGAACGCCGTCCGAAAACTGTACCGTGCGACCGAGACTCCGACCGTAATATTATTATTATTATTATTATTATTATTATTATTATACGCCCACGCTCTAACCCTCACCGTGTAAGTCTAAGCGCGGACCGCGTACCGTATGCAAAAACGTCGATCACAGCGCGCGTCCGTTTTTAGGTTTTTTATACGATCGTAGCGCATAAGCACACAATATGGACAACGCACGTAATTATTATTATTGTTATTGTAATTCTATCGCCGTAAAATTTTTAAGTATGTGTTTATTTTTTATTTTTACTTTTTTTTTTTTCTTTAATGCTGTCGATACATTTACAGTGGCGAACGGTAGTGACAAATCGCACGCGTGAAAACGAACAAAAAAAAAAAAAAAAAAAAAAAAAAACGCGCGCCCGATAATAGGACCGTTCGAAACGCCGACAGTTGACGCGTACGCGTAGAGCCGGTACGGCAAATCGTCACCACCGCGAGTATCTCCCGACGCCGCGCGAAATAATGCGTTTTTTTTTTTGCGTTTGCTCGTGTCCCGCGCGTCGCAATTTGCGGATTTGCGGCGACCGCGACCACGGTGCAGCCGGCGGTAAGGCCGGAACCGCGCGCGGCGGACGAACGCCCCCGGGAACACCGGACACCGTTAGGTACGCGCGGAAACGAACACGCGGGCCGCGGCCCGGCGCCGTCGTTTCGGTTTTCGGAACGGAGGGGGGAGGGGAGGGGGAGGCGAACGATTTTGACCCGTTGGTCCCGCGATGTAACCGACAGAACATACATAAATATATAAAAAAAAAAAAAAAAAAAAAACCGCTCGCTAATAATTCGCCCGTCGCGAATTCCGCTTTCGCCTCAACACGGGTAACGCCCTTACCGCGTACTACAACATTTCCGCACACGATGCCGTCACACGCGTGACAATGTGTGCGCGTCCGAGGGACAACAACGGGTCGCCTGACAAACGTACCCGTGTACGCGCAGAGGGCATACCCCCTAAACGTGTTGCCCGTTGTTACCTACTACTACTGCACGGAGATTCGGACTCGAGGCGAATTTTCCCCGCGATATTTGTGTTCCGTCTGTGCCGCGACTGGCGCGGGGTATAGAAAATGCGTTTACGAAAACCATAACCGCGTCGCCCGCGGACGTAGGCACGAGCACGGGAAAAATTGAACGAGAACGGGCACCCTCCGGGATTTCCGTTCGGATTTTGTTTAAAACAAAAAAAAAAAAAAAAAATATATCGCGTGCAATTGATCAACACTTAACACAATAGTTGTCGTCGCGAATAAATCTTGACCAGAAAAAAACTGCGGTTCACGGTGCGGGCCGTACGCGACCGTAAATCACGGATTACGTTTGCAGGGGCCCGTGCCCCGAAACTAACGCGGAGGCCCGCCGACGACTATGGTGGAATGAGGGCGGGGGGGGAGGAGGGGAGTGTGTGCAAATTCCTTCGCCGCTCCTCCCCGAATGACGCCGTCGCAACGGGCCCGGGGAACGCGGCGCCCCGACCCCTAAATGTCCGTCCCCGGACGATAAACGATTTTACGCCCGTGCCGTAAATAACGACGGTCTTTCCCCCCCCCCCCCCCCCCCCGGTCGAACGGGCGGACCGCGTACCTGATGGCCGCACGCATTTTTACTCCACCGTCCGCCTGATGCGCACGCCCATCGCCCCGTAATATTATTTAGAAATCGCGATTGCGTTTGCCCCGTCGGCCGTACAACAACAAGCGTAATAAAATAGAATAGTATTAATTGTAGGAAGAAAACAAAAACATCATTAATATCGTATGTTACGAATATATGCCATGACGAGAAATTAGGGCCATTATTATTTATGTCTTTCGTTCATTAAAGCGATCCAAAATGGACGCGATTTCGCGTGTCGCGTGTACAATGTATTAATAGATTTTTAAACGTTATTGTTAAGCAGATGCGCGCACGTACGGCCGTGATTTCTTTCGCCTCGCCCCGTCCAACGACCGTAATTTCTTTCCCCTCGCCCCGTCCAACGTGCGTCGTGCGCGTCCTGCGAATCCGCCCGTCTGCGCCGCCGTCGGTGCAAGTCATTCGGCAGGCGACCAGCAACCGCGGTCTCGGTCGGGTCCGCAACTCGAACCCTAACGGCCGTTCATTGTTTTTACGCGGTGTAAAATACGTTGAAATAATAATTTTCATACGGGCGGGCGGACGTTTGCCGCGATGCCGATCGAATTACGCGCCGTAGTTAATTATAATTATAATAATAATAATAATAATAATAATAATAATACATTAGTACTTAAATGAAGTCTACAGTGTCGTAAGTACGTTTATTTACGTTTCGCGTTATCGCCCCGACCATCGTTTAGCATAATATCATAATATACCTGGGAGAGCATTTTACCTATAAGAACGTTTGTATTCCGTAGTTTTAATTGAATGTAAGTACATAATGTAATAAACGCGGTATTGTTGTTCGTTCGTAAAAATGGAAAATGTAAAAAAAAAAAAAAAAAAAAATCAAAAATATTGATAAAATTAATCATAGGTACACACATATCACTTGTAGCTTGTAATTTTATCTATAAGTTTAAATATAATAACGTATCGTAACTATGTATTTACATTATATGACAATATAATAAAATAAAAAAATATACCTGTTGTGTAATTTTATACGGCAACACCCTAAAATATTTATCTTTTCCCGCACGTACCTCTACGAAACGTTCATATTACAGAAATAATTGTATTTTATCATTTATTTTTGATACCTGCGAACCGACTTCAGATTCAGGCCCGGGCGATGATTTTTTTTTTTTTTTATTCTAAACGGTCTCAATTGAATTAATCAAAGGTGCCCACCATTTTGGATTCAGAGTGTACCTAGCACCAGTGGCGTACATTCAAATTTGATCTGGGGGGGAGGGGGGTTGAATAAAAATAACCAACACTAAAACCTTCTCTTTAAAACTACCCATTTTCCTAACAATCAAACACATTACACGTATAAATAGCAAAAAAAATACAAAGGTTTACGTAACTCATGGCAGTTAAATATTATTTAATATGCGCATANAGTAATTGAATCATTTTTGTTGATCGAGAGCATAGCCAGACCATTAAGTCTTCCCTGTTAAAATTAATTACAACATTAAATTAAGTCGATTATAATCATTAATACTATTATTTAAATTAAACATACCTCAGAAGTAGAGTTGCGTAAGTAAGTTTTTATTCTCTTGAGAGTTGAGAATGTCATTTCGTTAGTGGCAGAAGAAACTGGTAAAGTTGGTAATATTTTAAGTAAATTAAAAATATTTGGGTACATGGCTTCATTACATATGTAAATAGCGTCCATTGCGTTTTTTTGGTTTATCCGTTTCTGATAGATATTTAAGTTTTCGTTGCCAAAGTTTGAACTCGTTGTTGAATACCTCATCACAATTTCCAATGTCTTCCAGATCTTCACTATACTGTTTTGTAAGAGACATAATATCCGTAGTCGAAGGTGTGAACTGAGTGATAGGTGTATCAGACACAGATACAGTTGATGGTAATGAGGAACTAGAGGAACTTATAACTGTTCCGAGTTGCATTCAATGAATTCATTATTGAGGGTGGTTTTGAAAAAAAAGATTGTATTTTCCGTTGTTTTTTTTTTCAGCCATGATTACTATTTATTTTATAATGATAATCTTGACTAAATACTTACCTATGGTTTATGGAGTTCAATGTTCAATTGTTGACATTAGCTTCTCCAACGGCAGAATAGAACAGAACGAACGAACATTTCATAATTAAATATTTTAACATGGCCATTTACGATAGTGCTATAAAAAAATAGAATCCATTTCACCGTTATATTGTCGCTCACGAGAAATTCAACGATTATAACCGATAACGTAATCGGTAATTTTTTCTCCGTTTTCTGATCGAGTCGGTCGAGATAACGACAATATTAATATGTATTTATGTCCGCACGCAACTAACTGACTGTGTACGATCAAATATCTATTTTGATTGATTTACGGCACCCATAATTTCGTTATAAAATCTTTTTTTCATTGTTGGTAAAGTATAGTGTTTGCTTAATAGTCATATTATTATGACGTATGTTTGTATATATACACGGATGATTAATAGTAAAAAATTCATCAATAATATCACAATTTTTTTTTTTTTTTGGTCCTGGGGGGGTTTGAACCCGAACACCCCCCCTCCCCGTATGTACGCCACTGCCTAGCACGTTTTCTAAAAGTACATGTTCGCTAGTTACAGTGCGTTGGAAAGGTCATTTTTTGATTATCCAAGGAGTTTTCAAAATAATTGGGAAAAACCAAAAAAAAAAAATTATAAGTAAAACGTCAAATATTTATGTCAATACGGATTTCATTGTTCTTAATCTTTACGAACTACGTTTTCTACCAGAACTATTGCTTCAATACAGATATTATTATAAACAAGTTCTGGCATTTTATCTGTATCTACAAATTCAAAAAATTGTAATCGAAATTGATTTTACAGATAATGACAATTATATGTAAAATGGAGTGTACACAGCTTAAGAAATTGATAATAATGAGCGTCTAACACAATGTGTCATTGTACTAGACACACATTTCAACTGTGTGGCCTGAAAATAAGAACATTTAAAAATGTAGTATTAAAAGCTCGAAAGGTAAATAGGTACATAACTAGTAGTGATTAAGCTGTTTGTTATATACTCATATGCAAAACTTTATCAATTATTTTTAAATTTTATAATAATTAAAAAATTTAAAAGTAATTACTGTCAACCCAGTCTAATGCTGCTTTATTAAATAAGAACAATTTTAAACAACTACCAACATTACCAAAAAAAAGTTGTGATTTAATTTTCGTCGAATTAATTTTGTGTTTCAAGATTTTAGTTACATTCTATAGGAGAAAAAGACCAAGGAATATGATTAGACACCCTGATTCCCCCGTGATAAGGTCACAATGTTCACAACAAAATAATTATAATGAGGCCACTTTAATTTAAGAATTTAAATATTTCAGTATGGGATTTCTACTGAAATTAAATTGGAATTCCAATATTGTTTAGTGAATTCGAGACCTGTTGAAATGTGTACAAAATATGAGGATATGAAAAAAATGTTTTATTTGTAAATTTATATTGCATAACAATTAATTAAAAATATTAATAAAAAAAAAATTGAAATTTGTATTTAAAACGACAACATTAAATATAAATAAATTAATAAATAATATAATCATGTTTAAACACTTATTATTTTAAATTAGTTAAATATTACTTCACTCAACAATTATTAAGAAAAAATATGAAATATTCTAAAATTATGGTAGTTATAATAGTGTTAAACGCTATTTTCGCAATCTACCAAGTGCACATGTCCAATTACTAAAAATAAACAGAAACAATTAATCCGATATAACAATAAATAAAGTACAAGTGTATAACTTAGATATTTTGACTCAGTTTGTATTTGTGTATGCATCCATACATGGATCAATGAGTCGAAAATTCCCAAGAAATATGTCTACTTACTTACATACTACACTTAGCTATTTAACTTATACAAATACAAATTTGAAATAGTAAATAAGTTACGAAATTTAATCAGATTCTAGTAGTGTTTTATAACAAATAATATGTTTAGTTTAATTTGTAATTGAAGTTTGATCCATTTGATTACTATTGATAAATTGTACAACATATTTCAATAATAGATTTGGAAGACTGAAAGAGTTATAGATATTTGTATAATCAGAATAGAATAAAATGTGACCATTAAAGTCCGGATATTGTGTGCGTATTTGATTATTTTTTCATCTTTTTCTTTAGTAAACGACCTTTAAGATTTTACATAAATCCTGCCACTGATTATTTGTTTTTGATCAATTATGTTTTTATTATTTTTGGTTATAGTATTGCATTGAGCATATCATAAGTTTCATGATAATAGAATTAAAATAAAAGAACATTATATTGCATTTTTTTAATTTCAAAAGTACATTTCTTTTAAAATGTATATTTAAATTTTTTGTCAAATTTTGGTAAGTTTTACAAAAAACAATATCAGCTGTAGTTAACATTTTTTTTTAACAAACACCAAAAACCTAGAACATAAAATGTAATTTTAGTGAAAAAATTTTTACGGACATTTTGAAGATAAATATGTATAGTAATAAACAATAAATAGTTGTATATTCTTTATTTCTTTCTTAATAATATTTTTTTTTGTGAATTAAAAAAGTAAAGAAACAGAGAGTAAGATAAAACTATAATCAATTCAAACTAAATTTTAATACAATTTCAGTTCACAATTGAAGTCATGAGCATATTTAGCTTGTTTTTAGTATGTAATCCGGACTCTAATGATAATTAATACAAAAACCTTTATTTTTATTTAAAGAAAAATATAAAATATAAGTTAAATATCAAAATATCAATGATCAAAAAAATGTTGGAAATGACAAAGAAACCTTTTTTTTTTTTTAACAAAATTTGAGTACGTAAAGTTTGATAAAACTTCCAAACTAAATTGCAATATTCAAATTGTATAATTTTTAAAAAGATTTAATTTATCAATAATATACTAAATGCATTTTTAATAATAATAACATGGTTTGCTTAGATGAACTTATGATATCTATTTTTATTCATCAGCCACTATGGTCATCTTCAAGAGCAGCTATCAAAAGTTAAAAAAACATAATATAGTATATAATCATTTACACCAATTAACACTGACATAACTGAATTTTTATCAACAAATAATATATCATTGATAATTTTACCATTTTTGTTTTGTATAATAACTTTATCCAGCTCATCTCTAAGTGTTTGGGCACTGTATTGATATCTACTTGTTGAACACTCTGGAAATTCTGTTTTTTCAAAAGTGGGACTTGGTTCTGGGGTTTTACAAAGCGTGGAGAACATTTCAGGTGTGCTTTTTGGTCTAAAATGTATAAAAACATAGTTGTTAGTTATTTGTAATATCCCAGAGAATCAATTATTATTAGTTACAATATTTGAGGTATCATCCCAGTAAAAAATAAACAATATTTACTTACAAATCATTTATTCCATAACTCTTGTCCACCAATGATTTCCATTTATTATCTTGCGTTTTTTCAATTTCTTGTGAAAGAATTTCACATCTTTCCCTTAAAATTTGTTCTTCCATTTCTTTGGCTATGCACAAACATAATATTTAGATTAATATTAGTTAAGTTCTATAAGTTAAACTTACTCTTCAATGTTGTTTGAAGTTTGGCGATTTCTAATTGAAACCTATGTCTAGTGTTTTCAAACTCCTGCTTAAGTTGACTCTCAATTTTTTCTCTTTGCACTTCCAACTTTCCTTGTTGATCCATCTATACAAATTTGATGATTGTTAAATTATATTTTAGACAATTTTAACTTTTATGTATAGAATGTAACAAGACTAACATAATATTATTTTTTTATTATTATTATTACATCTTGTAGCTATAACTAAAATAGTTTTTTGTTTAATTTTGATATTTAGGAATTCAAAATACAAAATGTAATTGTATTTAAAATTTAAATCAGATTAATCAGGTTTACAAAAAAGCTTTTTCAATTTTTATTTTGAATTTCTAAAGATTAAAATTTAACTAAATAATAATTAAATTATAGTACCAAGATGTAAAAATAATTTAAAAATTCTAAAAATTAAAAAATATTCAATAAAAAAAATATGGACATACTTTGAATGATGAATGGGCCTGATTAGGTAAAAAGTTGGGAAGTTAGGAAAAACAGGGAAATTTTTATTTATATCTGCACTCAACAACAATAAACCATTGCTAACAAAAAACTATTTTGACCGAAGTTTCTCACATGAAAACTGCTTAAAAATTCAAAATTACCTCTCTCAAGTACCAATTAAATAAAATTTTCTTTCAAAAAGAGGAAGATTTCTGGTAGAAAATATACTCACAGAATAAAAAAAAAAAAAAATAAACATCATTGTAAAAACAATAATATATTCCTCGCTATACTTCAAATTTTAAAGTTATTTCTATTATTTCTTTACATATGTTAAATATTCCTGTTACACCCTATATATACATTTATAATGCTGACTTGTTGAGATAACAATTTATTAAGGTCACAAAATTTGTCTGCCAATTTTTGTTCAGATTCCATCTTCACTTTACTAATTTTTCTTTCTTGTTCAGTTTTTAATTTCAATACTTCTTTTTTTGGCACATAATCTTTAGTAATTTTATATTGTAGCTCTCTAAGTAATTCTAGAGTTGAACCACATGACTGATGCGCATTAACTTCTACAGCCAGAAGTTTTACACGTTCATCGAGTTCCATTCGTTTATCTTGCTCTATTTTTAACTGGTCTTGTAACTGCGTTATCTATAACAAAAGTACATTAATCAAAAACACATATGAGATAAACTTGAAAAAAATCAATTATAATACATATAATTACTTCATTTAATTTCAACTAAAATTCCAACATAATATTATATTTTACTTATTCATAATATTTTCAATATTTCAAAATATTTTTAAATTATTAATCTTATGTATACAAATATGTTACACTCACTACAGTTTTGTTACATATTGTATTTTGATCAACGGGAATGTCACCTGTGCATACTTCGGGTTTCTATAAAATTAAATATTATATATTAGAGGTTATACTATAGAATTTCAATAATTTATAATGGACTACAAATAATTAAACAATTTTTTTTTTTTTTTTAATAAATTTGAAAATCGAAAACAAATACACCCTTCACATTAAATCAATACATAATTTGTAATCATAAATTCCATTAACAACTTATAGTTTATAATACATTTTCAAATTGTTAATGATATGGTTGCATGATTGGATGGACAGCAAACATTTTCAAAATAGTTGTATTTATAAAAGTCTGGGATCTTCTAATACACAATGTCAATAATAGTACACGGTGATCCATTTGTTTTGGTACACTCATTATCTCAGAAAGTATTAACTTTTTTCGTAATTTATTTTAAAGAAAATTTAAGAAACAAGCAGTTCTATAAATTTACATATATTTTATTTTTTGTTACCCTTATTTTCGGGGGTAAAAACCACTACCAACTTTTGATTTTTAAATAGCTTACATTAAAATGTTCATAAATAAATGGAATATTAGTTAAAATAAATTCTGATGTTGAAATTTTCAATTTCATTAAACTGTTGACGAGATATTTTGGTTTAAGTTGGGGAAGAGTAGTAGTACATTATTAAAACACTACGCGCTGGGTCACCATACAAATGAAGCTTCACTACTCTCCCTCAAAAATCAAAAGTAGTTAGTGGTTTTACTCCCAAAAATAACCTAAATGTAAAATTTTAAAGCTGCTGGTTTCTTAAATGTTCTATAAAATAGATTATGAAAAGAAATTAATACTTTTTGAGATAAGAAGTGTACCTACTTAAATTAATCACATTGAGTACATTCTGAATTTTAATATGTTTGATTTAAAAATCGTTAAAACATTCGTGGACAGTTGAAATTCTTAAAGAGGAAAAAAAACTATTTTAAAATACGCATTTAAATGCTGCTGCCATAGCAGTAGTAATTCGAGTAATTTAAGTCAGAGAGAAAATAAAGCTAAAAATAACATACAAATAATACAGTGCCCAATGTTTTGAAGTATTGTAGTGGGACAGTAAAATATCATCTTTAAAATCATTGAAAATAATACTGCTATAACAGCAATGCGTTTTTTTTTTTTAATGATACATATTCTACTGCTATAGAAGTAGTGATATATTATGTACATCAACTTTTAAAAATACTGCTATAGCAGTGGCTGTCCACGAATGTGTTAATATAAATAGTATATTAAAACTATTGTCTTTATAATATTATTAAAACTTACAGTTGATGTTTCAATTTGTTTGCATGTATTTTTAGAACTACACTCATTGTTTATTTTATCAATTAGCTGTAAATAAAAAAATAATATAAGAATGTGTAATTACTACTGTATTATGTTCAATTACATCGTTATTGATTTGTTTGAGATATTGGTTTTCTTTAGTTAAATTTGTTGAAGATAGTTTAAGTGTTTGAATCATGTCTAAAGCTTCTGTATATTTGACATCCAACTGATCTACTTGCTCTTCAAGTCGTTTAATCGTTTCATTTTGACTAGAAATATCTTGTTTATGATTTTCTAGCTTGTATTTTAAAAGCTCTGTTATTTCTTTGTAACCAGCTGATTCTTGTTGTAATCTATCTTTATCAAGTGTAACCCTTTTGAGATATGCCTTTAGAGATTCAGTTCTCTAAAACAAAATGTATATTATTAAATTTTCAAATAAAAATAGTATTCATTTATTTTATTTTTACAATTATTAAATTATTGTAGTCCTACTTTTAATGCATATCTAGTCCGTTTATGTGTTCCATAAATGTCCTCATGACTGGTAGAAAATGATATTGTATTTTCCGTATCAGAATTATCCGAAATATTATCTTCTTTTGAAGTTCGTTCTGTCAAATTACATTAGACCAACATGTAAAATCTATCACATACTAATAGTATGTAACAATATACTGCAGAATAATTTAATTTAATATTATAAATAAACAAAATTTAAAAAAATGAAAACCAATAATTATGAATTGATATTTACCCGTTGTGGACTTGGACTTTAGTGGGCCAATTTCTTCAGATCTAAAATTACAATTTAGTTCATGTAAATTTAATAAACTTTTTAAAAAGAAAAAAAGTCATTAAAATTAAATTAAGTATCAAATTTTAATTTGAAAAAAAATTTAAAATACATGTAGGATTGTGTTTATAAAGACAAAGTGACAAAACAAGCAAAAATTAAATTATCCTTTTCATATGTTTCTAAAGTTCTGTGATAGTAGCAGACCAAATTTATTTTTAACAACAAAATTGAATACTCGACATACATTGAAGTTAAATATTTAACTACAAATTTCTTAATACTAAAATAAATATTCTAATTATACTTTAACTCAATTGCTCTATAGTAACAATGAATATAAGCTATTATTAATGAAACCAAAAAACTTAACAAATTAGACTAATTGTTATTTAAAAACATGCATTGAAGCAAATAGTCAGTCTATATACTGAAGTACCAAATAATTAAACATTAATTTAGTTAAAAAAACTATTGTTAAATTAAATTATTCCTAATATTGATCATTAAACAATAGATGAAACTTAATTTTTCTATGATTTAAACTAAAATGTGAAATATCTAATCAACTCACTCGCTATCTTCTGAATCGCTATTATTTCTAATTACAGTATCTTGTTGTACAATTTTATCATTCTTTTTATTTGGACTATACCAATAATGAGGACCTTCGTCTTCAGATGTTTCATTATCCTTAACTTCTAAATGGTAATCATCGTGATGCTCATCGTGTACTTTAGGCATTCTCATAGATAATAATAGACTTCTTTTTGAACGTAGACTTGAATCATCACTTTGACTGTCCGAATCTCTCTGCTGGTTCTCAGATGTATCAAAATGTTGTTTTAGTTCCAAACTAAGCGATTTAGAACGTTCAAATTCTAAACAATTTTTATCGTTAGATTCAATTGGTATGCGTTCATTAAAAGATTTGCTTTTATTAAATGAAGAATGTGCAAAATTCATCTCAGGGCTAAGCTGATATAACGCTTTGTTTACGTCTGATGGCATGGTTAGTTTTAAAGTGCTTAACAAAGAGAAAGACTTATTTCTCGCATGTTTATTAGTAGTAGTTGTAGTAGTTCCATCTACAATGCTATCTGCAGACGCAGAAACCCTATTTTTATTTTTCTTCATTAATTTAGAAGTAATAAAATTATAAAATTTATTACTTTTTTTTTCTTCTTTTTTATCATCTAAGATGAGATAATTTTGATGAGGATCTGGTGGGAGACTTTCATCACTTCCCCATTCTAAATCTGAATCGTCTGTATTTACTGAACTTACAATTGGATCAGGAATTAGTTTTATACTCTCTTGTGTTTCTTTTTCAACTAATTCATTATCTGAAGTTTGCATAATCTCCGCCACTATTAACTCCCAACTTCTAGGGGGGTCCATGGATGGAGGCATTGTACATTGAGAAACAGACTCTTCATCTTTGATCAGTACAACAGATGTATTTTTATCTTCTGCAATTAATTTATTTTTCTCGGTTATTTCATTATTTAGTTCTATTGAGGTATTATTCACTTCTTTGTCATTGTCCAATGGAGAATTCAAAATTTTGTTTTCTTTTGCAGATTTATTATTGTCATTTTGTATTATTTCACTATTTACTTTATTAGTATTAATAGTTTTAGAGTCTAAAGTTACATTTTCCATTTCATTTGGTATCTTAGTAATAACTACTGTTTCTTTTATGTCTACTTTTTCTTTCATGTCTACTTCTTCTTTTATGTCTACTTCTTCTTTTATGTCTACTTTTTCTTTCATGTCTACTTCTTCTTTTATGTCTACTTCTTCTTTTATGTCTACTTTTTCTTTTATGTCTACTTTTTCTTTTATGTCTACTTTTTCTTTTATGTCTACTTCTTCTTTTATCTCTACTTTTTCTTTTATCTCTACTTCTTCTTTTATGTCTACTTCTTCTTTTATCTCTACTTTTTCTTTTATGTCTAACTCTTTTGTAATGGTAGAATTAGTAGACACAATTTCTTTTTCATTTTGATTATTTTGATCTTCAATATTTGATATAATTTTTTCGTCTTGTTTTTTACATATTATAATTTGAGCATTGGCAGTTTTTTGATCATTTAAAATTGTATTGTTTTCTTTAGTGTGAATTTCATCAATCTGTTTTGATTCATTCAAAACATTTTCTTGGGATCTAGATCTGGCCATCATACTCATTTTTTGCATAGATAGTTGATTTACTACTTTTGAATGACCTTCTTTAGCTGCATAGTCTTTTACAGATAAACCTAGAAAAAAATTGCCCATATTAAGAAGTATAAATAGTTCTCCTGTGTACTGGGATTAGAATAGGACTACAGAAACTCCTGCTTATCATAAAAGGCAACTAAAAGGAGATAGTGGAGAGCATTAGTAACCACTATTAATGACCCATTGGTAATCTCTGCAGCAGATATGACGATAATGGAAGGGTTTGGTGATGGCAGCTTTAGGAACTTAAGTACTGGCTCGCCAGCTGCAATGCAAAAAGTAGGGAAACTACTGCATTACTAAGTCCTGAGGATAGTGACATAATAGATACAGTCAAATTAAAAAATTGCAGAGGTAAAATAATCTCCCACTCAAATCTCCAGGAGGGAACTAACTATACTAAATTTTCATCAAAGTTGAAGTCTAAATGGAAGAAAACACAAGAGAATTATCAATGAGAAATGTAAGGTCCTTAGAAATTTACGGTAAATTAAAAAATCTCAAATTAGAAATTGAATGTCCTAATATAAATATAATAGGAATAAATGATGTACAGTGGCGGGACATGAGATTTCTCATCGACTACAGAATTATTTTTAACTGGGATGATCAAAGAGTAACTGAAGTTGGTTTCATCATGAACAAAGAAATAGGAAGAAAATTTGTTGATGTTATTCAATATAGTGACTGAATAACTACCATTAAACTAAATACAAACCCTGTTGATACTTTTATTCTACAACTATACATGCCAATTTCTGCCCATAATAATGAGGAAATAGAAAAAATCTACAAACAGATAAGTGAGGTGATAGTAATGAAAAAATAAACCTAATTATGTTAGGAGACTGGAAGGCATGAGAGACAGGAACACATGGAGTAACAGGAGAATGTGGTCTAGGAAAAAGAAACTGAAGAAAATCTAAGCTATTTAAGTTCTGTAAAGAAAAAAATCTAAATATTATGAATACAATGTTTAAACAGCCAAAAGAAAGACGATATACAATTGACCATGTCAAGAAGAATAAAAAGATATCAAATAGATTATATTTTAGTAAAGAATAGGTATAAAATATAAAAGTTATCCGGTGGTGGGCATAGTAACTAAAATATAGTAGTAATCGAAACAGGATTAAGACTAACAAAAAAAATAACTAGAGGAAATATGAAAATAAAATGGTGTATAGAGAATTTAAAGGTGAAAAAATAAGAATAATTCCAATGAGAAAGTAAATAAGATATTATAGGAAACAAACAACATAGAAACCAACCAGGTCACTATCGAAGAATGGGAAAAATTGAAACAGGTTTTCTACAAGAAGGCTCTTATTAAGAAGAGTTTTTTACGGAATATGGCATTGTAAGGGGCAGAGACATGGACAATACTTAAAGCGAAAAGAATTAAAGCTTTTGAAACATGGTGTTGGAAAAGAACACTGATAATGTTATGGGCAGAGAAAGTCAAAAACAAAAAAGTATATAAAAGAATGAATGAACAAAAACAATAAGAAAAAGAAGAAAAAACGGATCGGGTATATAATGAAAAATAATGAATTAGTAGCAATTATAGAAGAGGGAAAAGCAGGAAGAGGTAGACCAAGAACTGTGTTTATGAAACAAATCATAGTAGATATAGGAATAAACACTTACAAGGAAATCAAAGTAGTCATGATGGATAAGGACAAATGGAGGTCATTCCAAGGAGGTCCATTAATCCAATCTAATATCAATCTTTCGTTGAGAAAAAAAAAGAGATAAAAATAAAAAATACTAGCAGGAGTAATATGCATTTTAATTTAATTACCATTATTATCACAGGAATCAAGCTGACTTCCTCTTTCTAACAATAGATCTATAATGGACATGTTTCCAAGTTTTGCAACCACCATCAATGGTGTACGTCCTCGTTTATCTGATATATTTACCAAAGCCCCGTTGTCTAATATAAACTGTATAAGATCTCTATTTTCAGCCAGACATGCTACATGTAAAACTGATTCACCTATCTAAAATACATATTTGAAAATAAATCATACTTTTCAAACTTTTTTTTTAAAACATTGATAATGGATAATTACAAAACTTACACCCATTTAAAAATAAACATTAGGTAACACATAGATGAAAAAGCATAAATAAGTATAAATAAAATATAATTATACACAACAGACACCAGTGGCATACCCAGGAGAAAATCTAAGGGGGCTTCAGCCCCCCCAACCCATTGCCAATTAATAATTGACAAATTATCACTAATAAAATAATAACCCTATCATAGGTGTTTACATTACTTATTCAAATAATTTATTGAACTGCACAATTATGCATTTTGCAAAACAATTTCTTTTAGTCAAGTTTTTATAGTTTAACCGTTCTCATTGAAAAATCTTGGGTATGTCACTGACAGAGACCTTATATGGTCAGTATACCATTAAGTCATTTGAGAAACAATTTTAGTGCAAAAAAAAAAAAAAAAAGCAGTGATATAATATATACTCACAGCATTTTGTGCATTTATATTAATTCCCTTTTTAAGTAACATAGAAATTAAGGTAAATGAGCCTTGTTTTGCAGCTAAGTGTAAAGCGGAATTTTTATTTGCATCCGTGCATTTTATATCCGCACCTCTCTCCAACATTAATTGAACACATTCTTTTTGGCCGCATTCTACAGCCTATACGTGCATTTAGTTATTGTACACAAACAACATTATGTTAATTTATAGACCAAATGCTAAATGTTAACTATACAGTTTTATTTTATAAATTATTATTATTTGCAGTTACTTTTATAAATCATTAATATTTAATAAATGACTTTGAAGAATCTAATATTATAAAGCGTTATTTTTTTGCACATTATTATATTTCAAGGTGCAAATAAACAGATAAATACTTATGTTAGTTGTGTTAGTGTGTAATAAATTAACATGTAATTTAATAGCTATACATTAAAAGTATATTATATTTATTACCTCCACCAAATTATGAGCTTCTTCAAAGTCATATTTTTTAAGTAAATACTACAAACTACCACCATATTTAAAGAGTGATACCTTCAAGAACGGTGTATACCCATCAAAATCAACAATATCTAAGCTAGCATTGTTATTCAGCAGCACCCAAGCTATGTTATAGTAACCTTTGGCCATTGCCAAATGCAATGGCGTCCTGCCAAAATTATCCACAGTGTTCACGTCAGTCAACTTCTTTTGTAATAACGTTTTCACTTTTTCTATGCTGCCATGCCATGAAGCCCTGTGTAATCGGCTCATTTTGTTTTCATTTTCCGGGTCAATTTTATAGCAGTACATTGCATTCTCCAATTCATCATTGTCGAGTTCATCTCCCGACGGTGTACCAGAGCTACATTTATCCTCTTTCTTTCCTCCTTTCACCAATTTCAACATTTTCTTCATTTTGGATTTAAGTAATGTTGTGAGCGTGTGAAATTTCCAAAAAAAAATTGTATGTATACTCTACTCAGGGTGCAATCAAATTAATATAATAATGTTACATATTATCCAAACTTCAATAATACAACTTTTATCTTAAGTGTGTGCACAATTTGTTAATTTTGCAGTATCAAATGGCTACCTTGCAAGGTAGAAAGAAAAATCAATAATACTACCTATGGTGTACTTTTCAGCACAGGTCATAAATGATTTAATATTATTACTACTTCTATGAGAAACATTTAATATTACATTTATATTATGTATGACAATAAAATAGAGTTTAAATGTACTGATGTGCAACAAATAGTAGATAACACATAAAATACATTTTTAATCAAAAAAAAATCAATGAACTTTGATACATAATAATAATATATAATTGTATATAAAATACACAAACAGCATGCGCACAAATTGTTACTTGTTAGCCACTAGGTAGTGTTAAGAAACTAGGAATCACGAAGTAAAGGAATAAGGACTAAAGGTGTCAATGTTTAAAATACTAGTTTCTGATTGGTTTATTAAAACGTAGATAACAGTTTTCATATCACTAAAATCACCATTATCACTATTATTGTGATTCTTTCATGAATCTAGAATCCAGATTCAGAAATCAAGTAACATTCAGAATTAGATCACTATTCACCAGATAAATTATTATTATGGTATGTATTGATATTTTTAATACATCTTTACTAAAACAATATGTTAATTAAATAAAAATAAAGAAAGGTAGATATGGTTGAATAATACTTTCTATTTAAGGAGGTATCTTAAATATGTATTTTAGATACAATTGTATCTTATATCACGATACAGTTCTGGATAGTACTTATCAGTAATACAATATTGAAGTTTATGTTTCTAAATATTTACTTTAAAGTAGATAGGTACTAGGTACGTATATCGCACAAAAGGAGGCTATGTGGATCATTTTTTCCACTAGATTTTAAAAAATACTTTAAATGTTTAATAATTAAATAAAAATGGATGAAAATTTAGGAATTTCAAAAAAATGTTCCACATAAAATGTTTTAAGATACAAAATTAATGAAAAATATAATTAATATTTTAATGTATCGAGTAACTAGGTAGAATTTTAATAGGTACCTATATAAGTATTCAACATCCAAGTCTCTTTAATGTAATACTTATTACTTAAGTAGGTATCGAGTATTGCGTATTTGATACTGCAAATTAATGTTTTTAGTATTATTGAGTATTCAAATATCCTTTTCAAATATCTTTCAATTTCGAGTTTAGAGCTGACTTCTTTGAAGAATTGAACAACAGTTATGAAATTAAAAAGTATAAAAAATGTTGGTTAAATAAACTTGAGCCTTTTGTTAATTAGTAAATTGTTTTATAATTAATCAATGGTAAAAACAATTGTTTATATAATTTTACATTCATCCCAACAGACATATTTAAATAATTTTTCTTGGTATTTTTATTCTAGAAAACTAAATATATTTTGTTTTATTATTTTATGGTTCCAAGAATTTATTCACACTGGTTTTTTCGTCATTAAAATGAACCATAGAGTAATAATTTTCTTGTGACTTTTTGTTCATTTACAACAGAACATGCATATTTAAGTGTAGCACATCCAATGCCGTCCATGGATCCATAAGCACAGATAACCTGTGGTTACTTCAATTTGTCCCGAGAAATAGCGTTTGTAGCAACATGTTGCTAGAACTATTGACAGATTTGTACCGTATAATAGGAGTTGAGAATCCTTTCTTTTTAGTAAAAATTATTTTATCTCAATACCTATTTGGTATCTAATGAGTACGTATCTACATTACCTATCTATTTGTGAATAAAATATAAATATTCAAATACTTTTAAAACGAAGTACTCAACACATTTATTTAATACAAATAACACATTTTAAATACATTTTATAAGTATTCTTTACAAGACTGCATCTCAATTATGTATATCATAGACCATGAATGGGCAACTTAAATTTACCAAAGAGCCAATTTTTAGAACTCAAAAATCTAACGTGCCAGAGCATAGAAAGCAAAAATAGTCATTCAAATTTACAATTAACATTTATTTTGTATAACTTTTACAACTTATTTAATGAGTTACCATGATAATTCAGCAAAACCAACTTCTATTTCTTAAGTGGAAACACGTAATTTGTGGCTTTTCATCTGGTCATTTTTCCAAAAATGACATATCTATCTCTTTGGTAGATAAAAACATATCTGTTTGTAACTCACATAAATCTAATTGAAGTGAAGCATCTTGCTTTTCAATTACAATTGCCATCGGATTTAAAAAATATTGATTTGTAGATTTATTTACAATCAACTTAATAAAATTAAATACAATAAACGCTAAAGTTATTTGAAAGTAATTTGAAATTGTAGCACAGGCTGGATGCAGACCGCAGGCCTCAAATTATTTATCCCTGTCATATACCATTAAATTAGTGTAAATCACTAATACATTTTAAACTAATAAGAAATATATACCTATATTTAATAAGAATTTTACCATTAACATAGTAATTTATAACAATGTATACGCCAACAACTTTTATATTTTTACTACAATCTAAGCACCACAATTATTGCAAGTGCCGGGGTTTTCCAACGAACAAACTAGCTCTTGCATTTCAATAAAATTATTCTTCTCCGTTTTTCTAGTGACATTATTAGACAGAATATTTTTGTTTACTGTAAATTGTATAGGATCAGCAGCTGGTCTTGTTCGTAAATAATACATTCCTGTTTTTAGGCCCTTATATAAAAAAAAAAAAACAAACAAGTAAATTTACTATTTATTTCAATATATTGTTCAATACATAATATGACAGAGATAAATTACTTTTTTCCATCCATAAAAATGTACAGATGATATTTTACCAATAGAAGGTTGCTCAATATGAATGTTTAATGATTGAGATTGATCAATATATGGTGCTCGATCAGCAGCCATATCTAATATAATTTTTTGAGATAGTTCCCAATTTGTTTTATACAATTCTTTAATATTATCTGGAATACTTTCTATTTTCTATTGAAATAATAAATTATGGATATTTAACTAATTTGCATTGTTAAATTGTTTTAATAATATGTGTACCTGTATTGATCCTTTATAGTAAAGCAATGTATTTTTCATATTTTCATTCCATAGATTAAGCTTAATGAGATCATTTATTAAATGATGATTTACAACCTGGAACATTTAAATACATTTTAACTTTAACAGTGGCATAAACTGGGATCTTATGTGTTTTTTCCCAATTATTGTAAAAGCTACTTGGAAAATTAATGACTCTCAATGCACCAATGAGATCCAAAATATTATAAAAAGCTCTTGTCATTTTTGAATAGATCAATATTTTTGAGTTATTAATAGACAGACAATTGTTCTCAAAAAGGTACACATAATAAAACCAATGGAAAGAGTACAAAACAGAATAGGTACAAAAAATTGGTATATTATTATTTGTATTCATATATTGTTTAAACATATACACTTATTAAATGTATCTGTAATATATAACTTATTAATAGTATGCAATGACCATATTTAATTATTTATAGTGTATATTTATTAATATGTATAAATATTAAATAGATACATAAATATTATATAAGTTATAGAGGTTAAACTTATATTGTTGTGATTAAGTGTATTCATAATGTTAAATTTAGAATATAATATTATTAAGCAAATACATGTAATAAAATACCTTCGGAGGGTCATATGATGCTACTGTTTTACTAAACCTAGGGTTCCGTGCTCCTATTGAGGAAAACCCAGGTGGTCGATTTTAGTAGACATAAGATATTGTAGGGTGAAGGAATTGATTTCATAGTTGATAATACCTTTGTGCCTGTTGAAGGTGATCAGAATAATTTCACAGTACCTCTGTTGTACCTGTTAGAAGAGGTGACAAATGGGGATATGCAAGGTTGGCAGCTAGTGTAAAATTCTACCAAACAGTAGACAGCATTCTAAACAAGACTTTGGCATATTGTCCCATCTCAGATGTACACAGGGATAACAGGTGAAAAAAGGTACCATGGTATATGAAGTTTGCAGATAATATAACTATGATAGGACAAAATCTGGAATAAGTTAGCAATAGGCTTCAGGAATAAAGAGTAGCACTTAGAGTCTAAGGATAAATAAAAATAAAACAGAGTAGTGAGTTTGAAGAAACAGAATAAAACAGATAACAATTACAAGTGGCTATGTTGAAAGTTTCAAGTACATAGGATCTTTGGTACAATCCTCATTTTCATGAGGATTCAACATAGGATTAAGTGTGATTGGATAACGTGGACAGAAATGTCAAGTGTTTTATGTGACAAGAGAACTCTAATGAAACTTAAAAGTTAACTTCTACGAAAGTGTGGTGAAATTGATTAAGTTTTTTGGTTTTGAGTGTTAGAAGGTAGACAAAATGTAAAACAGAAAATGAGTATGGCAGAGATGATAATACTTAGGTGGATAAGTAGAGTAACAAAAGAAGATAAGATAAAGAATGAATACATAATAGGTCATTTTATAAACATGATGAGGTCATAAACTGAGATAGTTTTGGCATGTCACAGGGAGAGACTAATCTGATACACTAAGAATTTTAATGTAAATAAACTTAGTATAAATGAAGCAGAAAAGAAAACTGAAAAAAAGATAGTTAGATGTGATTAAAAATAACATGAAAACAGCTAGTGTATGCGAGATGGGTAATAAGATCAAGTGGAAGTTTAGAACGAAGGTGACTAACCACAAAATAGTTAAAATGAAGGCGATGAAGAAGAAATTTAGAATATAATAAATATATGATTAAGGAACTGTTTGGGATCAAAGTTCCCCACAAAATAGGTCGTCTTACAAATTGTTTACAACAATTTAGCCCAATTTATGATACTAAACTTGAACAACATTATTACAAATAATACAATTTACTAACGGTAAATTCTCCTGAGAGAACACGTCTACAATATACATTTGTTGTGTATGGTTCTATAGATTCGTTATTTCCTAGAATTTGTGCTGTTGATGCAGTTGGCATTGGTGCTATCAATAACGAATTTCTTACACCATGTTTTACAATTTTTTCTTTCAATTTATCCCAATTCCATAGATTAGTGGGTGTAACATTCCACATATCAAATTGTAAAATCTAAAATCATAATCATTGATTATTATACACCTATTTTACTATAACACGAAAACACATACACCTTGACTAATTGGAGATCCTTCATAAGATGAATAAGTTCCGTACTTTTCAGCTAACTCACAACTACTTTCCAATGCACCATAATATAATGTTTCAAATATTTGAATATTAAGTTTTCGTGATTGAATAGATCCAAATGGATATCGCATCAAAATGAACAAATCAGCCAATCCCTGAATGCCTATTCCAATTGGACGATGTTTTTTGTTTGAATATTCAGCCTAAAAATTAAAAACAAAACATTCTCTAAACATAAAAATGCATAATGTATTATAAAATGTAATTACCTCAATGACGGGATAAAAGTTCACATCAATAACTTTATTCAAATTCTTGGTGACAATTTTAGTAATTTTTAAAAGCTTTTCAAAATCATAATCCCCATTAGATTTTATAAACATATTTACAGCAATTGAAGCTAGATTACATACAGCTACCTACAATGACAAAAAAAAATTAATACCATTAGGTGTAATTAAATAATAAATATGATAATCAAGTACCTCTTCTGGTGAAGTGTATTGAATAATTTCAGTACAAAGATTACTACATTTAATTGTACCAAGATTTTTCTGATTACTTTTAGCATTGCATGCATCTTTGTAAAGAACATAAGGCATGCCAGTTTCAATCTGGGATGTTATTATACGGAACCATAACTCTCTCGCTGATACCTGTCTGTTGAAAAGTTTTTGATCTTCGTAACTATAAATTAAACATACATACGAGTATTAATAGTATTACATTAGTGTTGAATCCATACAATTTTTCTGGAGGGCATAATTTTTTTTTCATTGGTCATTTCAATGTTAAATGTAATGAGTAACGAATGTTGTACATTGTTAATAAATACAGTTAATTGACAGTTTTATTTGTCAGAGGCAAATTACAGCCCAAAAACATAAGTTTACGTGGAGGTGTTTTAATGAATATTTTATTCTATTATTAAATTACTTTGACCTGTTCTCACAATATCTAGTTAATCCAATTAGGTGGATAAATTTGCCACTAAACATTAAAATTCTGTTGGTTAACTTATGATTAGAGCTAACCAACACTTTAAGAAACAATGTAAAAACCAGGCTTAATATTATTTGATATTAATTAAAGTGTATAATACTATTCTGCACATTTTATAGTAAAATTAAAACTAATGAAAAAAAAAATATGAATATTTGTAATACTGTTCAACTAATAACTAATTTGATCAACATTAAATTTATTTATTTGATAAAATGTTTTTATTTTTTTGTCTACAGACGAAGTACTCATATGTTTAGTTTAAACTTTAAAAGTATTATAAATAATTCAAAATATTTAATTTAATAAAAACACATACTTTTTATAAAGTGTAACAAAGTCAGCTCCCCAAACATCAGATAAACCTGGACATTTATACGGACACATCAAACTCCAGAGTTCATCAGCTTCAACACGTTTCATGAATTCATCAGGTATCCAAAGCCCCAAGAATAAGTCTCTAGTTTTTTTTTCTTTATCACCAGTATTTTTACGCAATTCCGTAAAATCATAAATATCAGCATGCCATGGCTCAATGTACACAGCAATAGCACCAGCTCTCTATTTAATTTTATAATTTTTGTTTTCTTTTAATATACATAATTTATACTGCACAATTTGGCCAGTAAAATTCTTATTTTACTATTTACAGTTTTTTAACATAAAATTTAAAAAAAGAGCTGATATTGGGGATAGGAGCGACCATTGTTGTAAGTGGGGATTTCAAAAGGTAGGATACATAAGGTTATTTTATTTATATCTGTAAGCAACTATAAAATATTGCTTGACGAAAAAGACGATTCCGAGTGCAGTACAATGATACATAATTTGAAGTGTCGTATTTTTTTTTTTACATTTTTCATTTGAATTTGATTTCAAAACATTTATTAATAAAAGTTGTCTTATAATTTTGAAAATTTAACACGTCTAGGTAAGTCAAATATAAATATTATTACCAAATCTCAAGTCTCTACGTGTATTTATAACTGAATTACATAAAAAAACTCCTTAAAAGCTCAAAAGTTTTGGCGATGATACTGTAAAAAAGTAAACAAAATAGGTGTCAAGTGATTTTATGATTAAATCATTTTTTCTGGTAGAAAACGTCGTCTATGTTTTTATAAAATAATGAAATCGTGAAATTGTATGTTTTCTTATGTTTCTCACACTAAAGTGCTTTTATTTAAAAAAATGGCGTCGAAAATCAAAAAATGTCTTGTTTATAGTACAATAAAGACAACTTGAGCTTTCAGAAAAGTAGCTACACGTAAAAATTGTAGTTAGTTTACTAGGAAAAAATGTATCCACAGACTAGAAGAAAGAAAAAAATTAACATCTTAGTAAAACCTATAGTTCTTCACTACGCTCGGAATCTAAAATAAAAATATATTGAATTTACTGAATTTAATTACTTAACATGAATTAATGAATACTAACTTTTCCACCTTGATTGACTAATTGGGCTAAAATATTCAAACATTGTAATCGAGGAACAATTCCAGGTGGTTTATTTTTCGGATATTTATTTTTGATTGATGGTGAATCTGCTGCACACATATTGTGCATATGTATACCAATACCACCAGCATATTTGGAAATTAATGCACAAGTTTTTAATGATTTATTAAAATCATCTAATGAGTCAGATTTGTTCGCCACCAAAAAGCAACTAAATATAACATTTTGATAATTGAACATAACATATTATATACAATAGAAATATAAAATGGTAATTTGATTCTGTTTGGAATGGGCGCTAATAATTGTAAGTCAATGTAATGATTATTACATTACCTAGACAGTTGAGGTTTAGGTGTGGCAGCATTAAACATTGTTGGTGAAGCATGAGTAAAATACTTTAATGACATCAAATCATATGTTTCTATAACAGAGTCAATATCTTCTCCGTGTATTCCAACTGAAACTCTCATTAGTAAATGCTGAGGACGTTCCACAATTTTTTTATTTTTTTTAAATAAATATGAATATTCAAGGGTCTGAAATTAAAAACGAATTGAATATAACAGAAAGAACAATTAATAAGGTTTCAAACTGTTCAAAAATAAATACAACACACTTTGCATACTCTAATAATTTTAAATTAATTGTATAATATTTTGAAACGTTAGTGTTATCTTTATTAATTTGTATGAAATTTGTTGACTGAATGAAAACAAGATCATACTATAACCACACTGTTGACACTAAACAAAAATTAATTAATTTCAACACATTTACCTTAAATCCAAAATAATTGTGACTAGAATCTCTATCATGTTTAATAGCATTATTTAATCGATCAGCATGTTTCATGATAACGTTATAATGAAAATCAGAAATAATTGGCATATATTCTTGATTACATTCATCAATCGTGGTGTACAAATCTTGAATTACATCTATAATAATTGTATTATTTAAAATACAAAATAATACTACTAAATAATTAATTTACCGCTAAATTTATCTTTAGTATCTTTATAAAGATTTGAAATAGCAATACGTGCAGCAAGAACACCAAAATCTGGATGTATAGTTGTTCGGAACCTAGCTATTTCTGCAGCTAAGTTATCAATTTCAATAGTACTAATACCTGGACATAAATCACTGATGACATTTGATGCTATTTCAGCCTAAAATTAATAAATTTAAAATACGTTTACATATTTTAAAATTAAAATCGTTGCAATTTCAATAAGTCTAAATAATAATAAAACATATTGCAGCACAGTTTAAATAAAACTTAAAAAACATGTTACAAACTATTATGGAAATAACTGGGCAAAACACCAATAAATGTCACTATAGTATAAGTTTATATTATAATTTATAGTAAATATGTATTATAGACATTAATTTTAAGTTTTAAGAAATCAAAAAGTGCAAATTAAAATAATAGATAATACCAGAGAAATTCAGATTTCCGTTTAGCAAAACGCTGTTGCAAACTTTTCTACACTGGCAGACAATCTATGTTCTGTTCACTAATCTGGTTTAACTCTTTCAGACACTGGGCGGCAAATGAAAATGGTACCTTAGATGCACAGGAATTTTTTTTTTATTTCCTTAACATTTAATACATATACTTACCAAACAAATAATTATATCACTAAAACATTCTTTAGTTAATTTTTAACCTTGAAATTTGCAATTTTAAGGTGGTTGGCTATGCTAACCACCATGCATATAATAACAAAATTGTCCAGTATATGTAAAAGTGTTACCATATAGTTTTTCAACAACCACAAATAAAATAAAATCAGTAAATTAACTTTAATTACTAAATTATAATTCAAACTGTGTCACAATAAAAAATATTGTTTGTCCTTTTTTTGAATAATAACAAAATTAAATAAATACCTTCTAAAAATAAAAATTTTAAATACATTAATTGTATATTATTTATTTTTTAATGTTTGTATACTATTTTGTTTTATGAAAATCTTAAAAGCAATTCGAATCTTTTCTCATACATAGATTTACTTTACATACAGAACAAGTCCAAATTGAACGAAACGGTTTTTTTTTTTGTGCTACATTTCGCACACCTTCTTGATGTTCTGATTGGTTGATGTGCTGAAGATTCATAACGTACACTTTCCATAACAATTGGTTTTTTTATGATACTACTGAAGGTCAAGCTTTTGGAATTGCCGGTGAAAATTTATTTTCAATGCTTATTATTTTGTTAGCCAATAAATCATTATAAATACTTCTATGAAAATCTTTATTGCTAAATTTTTGCATATTTTCAATTTCTTTATGTGTGATAAAAAAGTAAGTTATTGCAGATTCAACAAAATGAAAAATTAATCGTAAATATCATTTCATACTTTTTCTGTCAAGCTTATAATCACTGTTCAAACGATCAATATTATCCTCGAAGTTCATATTTTTATTGTAATCTATCAACACTTTTGCACAAGAAACAAGCTTTTGAGTTCCATCTTTAGATTTTCTATTTACATTACTAGTATCTTTAGGACTATATAAAGAAAATAAAAGATGAAGACACTTACTATCTATCCATTTATACATTACAATACGTATAATTATATAAATGCAGACACTAATACGTGGTGGTTACTGCAATTGACCACCGAAAATGACGACATTACACAAGACGTAAAGGAATTGGGTCGAATAGACTGAAAGATAGACGACTAAGAAAGGGAAATAAAGATAATCATAATGCACAGAAAACATTATAATGGATATTCTGGGAAAACCAACACAAATTAAATTCGACCAATATAGTTTTAGAAAATTAAATACAACTAAAATGTTTTTAATATTAATTAATATTGTTATATCCCGTGCCATCTAGTGGTATATGAACTAATCGGCTTTGGTGGTCAGCAACAATGACCACGAAATGAGAAAAAAAGAAAAATATTTTCTAGGTGATTAGCTACACTAGCCACCATGCAATAAGCAGAAAAATTAAGTGGTCAGCTGTACTACCCATCATACCGGAAAGAGTTGAATCAAAAGTGTGGTTAACATTATATATTACTATTTTTTTGTTTTCATTTAATACCTATTGTGTTAACAATAATTATTATGTAGGTATTTAATATTATTTAACATGGGTACCTAGTTCCTGCTACCTAAAATTTGTTTCTAAACCATAAAATTAGTTTCAAAGGGAGTTCCTATCTATTTCCACCAAATGAAAAATGTGGTTTAATATTCAAATATTAATGAACAATTGTATCATAAATTATTATTATTATATTATTAAATACAAATTGTACAGTTATGGTTGTTCTGGGGCGGTTAAATTAAATTAAACTAACAAATTTCACATAATTATAAATTTTAAATATCATATTAAGTATAGATATTTCACGACGCAAAAATAATAATAAAAATAAGTTTGAAATTATACAATAAAAAAAAAATTGATCATATTTTCGATATTTTTGTGTAAGAAACTGTGGTAAGAACAATCTTTGAGTATTAACAACTATTTTTACCTTGCATTCAATTAATAATAAACAAACATTTTATCATACATAAACAGAAAAAAACTCTAAATTTTCAATTCATTTATTTGCATTATAAATAATTGTAACAGATACAATTGGCCATTAACATTTATTCGAATATTAGAATAAAGTTTTTGATTTGGCGGAAAAGATAATCGTGAATCAACGTAAAAGTGAAAGGTATACTTTTGGCAGAAACCGGTCATGCCCCTTTTAGGACGTGTAAAAAGTAAAACATTAAACAAATAATGAGGTTTACCGTACACAATAAGCCCGTATACGGGAAGGGGGGTTAGTATAGGTATACATTTGTAATATAACAAAGAATAACTACAATTATAAATATTTTAACACCCCCCCCTTTCCCGAAAATTGATCCTGATTACCTACGTTCTTGGTGTACAATATATACAATGCAAATATATTTGAACAAGAGGAAGAGGCCCGGGGTTTTAATTATGGTGCATAAATTATTTCCCCCTCCCAGATTTTTATCTAATTATAAATCCACACTAACCGGTTCACTGTCCAACAATGTAACACTACTGTGCTACTACTTCAGCAAACATTTGATTTGACATTTCACAAACTTTACAGTAAATCCGTATTAGTGGTCCAACACAGGTCGCAATGGTCACATGGTTTAAGAATTATTTAGATAATCTTGAACCGCGGTTATGGATGAAATTTTTATGAAATTTGAAGTAATTCCAAAGGGAATATAAATAGTTTTACCAAGAGTGTGGTACCTATCAAAAATTATGCTCAATTTAATTTTGATAAGGTTAGCATTAAAAACCAGCGTGTAGTTTATGCCTCTATGGCGTTATTATCTAGAATGGATTTATTTAATTTAATATGTTAAGTGTGTATTGTGTATACATATATGTTATGTTTTGGACAGCCATGGTGCTTTAACCCTAGGTAGTAATATTAAAATGCTACGTAATGAAGTACCGGGTCGATGAAATCCATGTTAAGGCCACTACATAATTTTTCGATTCGTGAGGTGATCTTATCCGTTTGTACTTCTTCCAATTTGCCATCTTAACAAAATATATCGATGTTATTTATACTTAATAAAATAAAATAAATTTATTGTCTATATTAATTTAAAAAGTAAACATTAACTTACTACGTTTTTTAACAAAAAGCTTCGTTTTTCTTATTTCATTAGTCATGGTTAATATATTATCATTGGTCAACAAATACCTATGAAGGTCCAGTTTTAATAATTGTATTATTGTATTTCACTATTAGAGGGAATTACCACGGACCGGTATAGGTATTAAACTGTAAACGACTGAAGCGAAAGAGTGAATTTTACTAGATATATTAATTATACAAAAAAATGACAACTTAATCTTAAACTATTAGTTTATAGTAATGATGGATGATACCTAACAAATAATAACTAGGCATTGACATATTCAATAGTTCTTGTGAAGTTAATCGTTATCGATAATTATTATTAATTATTTATAATTTGTTTTCATTCAAATAATTTTTATTCATTCCGATAATTAAATGATAAATAATTACTCGAATAATCTTTATTCATTTAAATAATAATAACGATACTGCTGGAAGGTTTATAAAGTAGATATTGGTTTTTTTACGATATTGTTACAAATGAAAATTGATTCTAAGTAATTACATAAAATAATCATTCGATTTATTTCAGAATATACCTTAGTGGCCGAACGTATCAAAACCGGCTTTCAATCAAAAATCGGTCGAAAATTAATACATTTTCAATGTCCGTCAGAAATCATATTCTCAATAACTTAATGATATTCGACTGTTTTTCAATCATTTACTTCGTCTGGTATTTTGATATCGAACGCTTATATTCGATTGAAATTGAAAAAAGTGTTCTTCGATCACGGGTTTTCTATTGTTGTTCTACTTTCTCGCACTCAAAAAGTTCCTAAGGATTATTTTTGTATAATTTATATCGTGCGTAAGTTCGTTATTTTTTCCCCCGTGTAACCGTGCGAATAGTAGAATTAAAATAATACAAAAGTAATAGTAAAATAAAAAATTAATAATTAAAATAAGTGATATCTAGCTGTTAAAAATGCGTCTATACTCTATAGTTCGTTTACGTCACTATATAATACTTATCATTAAACGGGATCACTCGGGTCACTGGGGTAACTAGAATCAAAAATTATCTATTTTTGTTATCAGTTTCTATCAGTGGCGTATTCAACGTCAGGCTATATAGGCTGAAACCTAGGGCGGCAATTTAGAGGGGGCGGCAAATATGAATAAAATAGTAATGAATGAATTAATGAATAATAGTGAAATTTATAGTATTTATATGAAGAGTTGGAAAATGTATTAGTTAAATTTTGTTCAGAAAATCAGACACCTTTAAAACATTTAAAAATATGTATTCATGAAGAAGACATTAAAACAATTTATCCAAACGTGAAATTATTCTAAGAATATTTATTTGTATACCACCCACAGATAATCCTGCAGAAAGGTCGTTTTCGTGTTTAATCAATCATAATTTAATTGAAAAACATAAAAATTACCTTAATAATTTAAAAACAAAATGTATAAAGAAATTTATTAAAGTTTAACAATAATTTTTATTATTATTAAATAGGTTTGATAATATAATAATTGTAAATAGAGTCAACATTTTTCGTTTTTCCAATTCATAACTGTATATTATAATATATTAGAGTTTTATTAAATTAACAACTGGAAAGGACTCATTCATTTATAAGACACTAATCTTTGCGTACAAAAAAACCATTGAACTTCCTCTATACCTTCCCAACTTCTCACCTACAACAGTAATAGAAATCACCGACATAATTTAATATATTGGTGATTTTAAAAGACCTTTCGTCGAAGGTTCAGAAATAGTTAAACGCAACCATATTATTGAAATAGGTTTAAAAGTAAAACAGACGTCTTAGGATAATAGGGACAGGTGCAGCCACTGTTATAGATGGGAAGTTGGGAAGGTAGGATACAGAAGGGAATTTAATGTATATCTTTACAATCGACGAAGTACGATTTATACAACTTTTGCTGGATTCTAACGATGTTCAAGTGAGTTAACGATATATTATCAAGTTACGGGCAATATAATCCTGCCGTAGCAACGTGAACCGCACAATGAAACGTAAAATATGTGAACGTATGTTTGATAATTTATTTTAATTTGTTTTATTTTGTGTCAATTATTAGGTATTTCAAAAAGAAAAAATACGTCCTAGGATAATAGAGTGCAACCACTGTTTAATGAATATCTGTAAGCAACGATAAACCATTGCTAACAAAAAATGATTCTGAGCAGAGTTCAGTTGATAGTGATGCTTTGTCAACAATATATATGTAATTTTGTAATTATTAATAAATAAAATAATTAAATAGGCCTTAAATATTTCCTTTAATAATATTTGTTTAATATTATACTGATTTTCCAGGTTTCCTCAGTTTTCAAATTTGCTTGGAAAACTCTTTGGAAAATCGAAAAATGTCCGCTCTAAAGTACCTCCCCAGTCAAATTTCCATTTAAAAAAATTACCATCATTGTAAATCGGAACAAAATTGCTGGTAGAAAAGTTGTTCACAGAAAAAAAAATCGTAATATTTTAGTAATATATTCGTATATTTTTCCTCCGTTTTTTTTCTTTCGGTTTTTAAAATTTGATGAGAAAACTTGAAGAAATCGAAAAAACCTCCCTACAGTATCTCCTCAAACCGATTTCCTATCAGAAAAGGTGCTTCACTTAAAAATCAAAGCAACCTCACGGAGTAAATACATTTTAAACACTATGTTGTAGGTTTATTATATATTATGTAAGTTCAATACAGGTTTGTATTTAATTTATGCATTTTTATTATACATTTAGCTAAAATAGTGCTATATTTTAGTTATGGTCATCCATAATATTAACAAATAAAGCTATACATATAATTATTACAAAGAAACTTAGAAGTCAGTAATTGAACGTACATCTTCCCCGGTAGAGCAGTTCTAATAAATTCCATCAGGTAGCGACTCTTTCGCTTTCAATCGTGATATAATTAACTACACGATTTAAGATTGTAGTGATAGTACTATCACAGAACAGATGATCTACTATCTTTATGATAATACCCCTATCCTCTAGCTATAGATCACGATCATAGAAAGAGATTAAACTATGTAGAGAAGATAATAGAATGTCTATAGCAAGACAAGTACATCATTCGGTTTTCATAATTTGTGATTGTGCTTTGTAGTTAACTATTTTTCAGTTGACGTAAATTATGGTCAACAAAGCGCTTAACTTGAAACAAGTAAGTAAACGAGCTAAAATATAATACAATAATATAAATCGATTAAAACTTAGTAATGTTTACATTAAGCATATTGTAGGTTTTTAATTGTAAACAAATGTTCTGTAAAAAGGTACTAAAAGTTATTTATTTTATTATAATAGAATAAACTCTATTTACATATTGATTTAGAAAAGACCTAAAAGCAATTATTTCATAGTTAATTAACATGTTAATTTATTCACCTCTGATCAATCCACTACCAACTTCACCACTACTGGCGACTTTGCTGATAGCAAAGTTATTCTTACTTTCACTGTTAACTCACAAACCACCCCAATTCTCTCATTCCTGACCTCTCTTTTCTTACCATGCCAGGTGACTCTAGTCATCGTTTGAAGCGCAATTTGTGCTGTGGTTTACTAGCCAACTAGTCGCAGATCTCATATCATGTAGTTCCGTTAACTAATGGTTTTTTTCTATTAAGCTATTCCTGGTTGTTAACTTAATCAAATGCATTTATTGTAAAAATTATTTATTTGCAGATTGTATAATTAAAATTGATTGATGAAAAAAGAAAAAAATTAACATGTAAATATATCTAAAAACATAAGTAGGCATATAGGTTGGAAATATTTATTACCTACCTATATTTATTATTTATCTAAATTGTCAATAATTCCTATTTAAATAGGCCTATTACTTATTTAATTTAATACCTAATTTCTGCAATACTTATTGCTCATTCTAATGTTTATTAATATTAGGTACCTATTATGTATAATTTTTCTATAAATTATGTATTAAATTAAATTTATTAATTATGATTTATTTGTATATCTGTGTACCATAAATTATTTCAAATAAGTAAATTATGGTTTTTAGATATTTTTTAACTTAATATCAACAATACTGGGCATTTCCAATGCGTAACCTCCCTATCAATAAGATTCTTTATTATTTTTGTCACATAAAAACCTACACATTGTACTTAGTTGTATAGATTGTAGATTCATATATTTTATAGAAAAAAATAAAAAAAAGAATTACAAGCAAACCTTATAATATAATAGATAGTTGATGAAACAATTATATATATATATATGTCACAATTTTATTTAAACAAATTTCCCTCGATACAGTATATAGATTCAATATTAATATACATAGTTTGGTATACTGATTTTATAAGTATAAGAACTTATTAATTTTAAGTAGATACTTAATTCTTATTTAATTTTACCCAAATTTTAATACTCAATTAAAATATTTTATATGTTTATCTTTTAGTTTATGCTACGTCAGAAATCATTGAGACTATATAGAGAATTTTTGAAAACAATAAAAAACATACCGTTAGAAAGTGATAGACAACAATTTTTCAATTGGGTTAATGAAGATTTTAAAAAACACAAACTTGAAACTGATGAGGTATAGTTAATTTGTTTTATTAATAAGTCAAAATTCTTTAACTTAAGTCCATAAAATGATGAATTGTTTATGAAACTAATAATTTATTCAACTAATTAATATAATTTGATAATATTTAATATTTTTATTTTTTCAGTATTGTATAAAAAGTTTACAAAAACGTGGTGAAAAGTCATTGAATGATCTAAAACTCAATTTAGCTCTAAGTAGTCCCAAAACATTGTGAAAATAAGGTAATTATGGATTTTAAGCCTCAAGCCGAATCGGGATTACAACTTTTAGAAAGACTTTTAGCACGGCCAGTTATTAAAAACCTAACACCATTATTACCAGATGAATTGACTAGTGAAACCATAGAAATTATTGGAAATACTTCAACGGGAAAAACATTATTTTTGACTGAATGTATTGCCAAATGTGTTACCCCTAAAATTTCAAACGGCTTAGATGCTGGTGTTGTTTACATTGATCTAGATGGACAATTTGATATAACCAAACTAGTAAAAATTATTCAACGTTTATTAAAGAACGCTGATGAAGAATTATTAAAATCCTGTCTAGCAAAGTTAACATTGATCAATTGTTATGATAGTCCAACTTTGTATGTTACATTTCAAAGATTAAAATTATTTCTTACTGAACAGTCTCAAGTGGGATTAGTTATTTTGGATAGTGTATCAGCAAATTATTGGCAAGACTCAATATCCAGGGGTGAAAGGTATATGGACACATACGTGGAAAAAATGATCTCATCTTTGAAATTGTGTTTAGAAGATTTTAAAGTACCTATTATATTTACCAGACAGAGTTATTTTCAATCCAAACATGGGGATACTTCATCATTAGATTACATAAATCGTACAATTTTGTTTCAAAGATTAGATTCTGATTATTATGCAACTGTAACGAGAAAAAATGTAGACATTTGTTATAAATTCAATATTAACAGTCAGGGAATTATTGAATTTAATCAACATCAAAGTTAATAAAATTATAAAATTGTCTTATTTCTAATAAGAATTATTGTAATAAAAATAAATACATTGTTATTATATTCCATGAAGTGCTTTAATTATTTAGTTGTATTTTTTTTTTTTTTATAATTCTCTAGGTAGTAAAATTTCAAAATGTCTTCGAACTTGGAACTAAATAATATACAAAATCTTGAGCAAATTGTTAAGTTTATAGAAATTGGATGTATACCAGAAGTTTCAACTAATGAAAATCAGTTAGCCAAACGTAATGCAGTTTTATTTGCTCATATGGATGTTGCCAAATCTGTTTTTAATAAACTTAACGAGTTATTAAGTAAACTTCTAAATAATGATATAGAACTGAAAATTAAACCACTGGACATTTTGCACTCTTGCATATATTTATGTGGTGAACATTGTCAGTCGGACTTTCAGTGGAGTAATACTGAAAACCATAGGTTAATGAATTTATGTATTGTTAAATTATGCAGTCTTCTGCATTATTCAAATATTGATGAATTGTTTGCCCATGTAAATATTTCTAAAATGTTTGCTGGTTTGTTACATAAACTAGAAAATGAGAATTGGAAAAAATATCCAGCCGCTGTTGAATGTTTTATGTGGATCTTGAAATACTTAAAAGTAATAAACATACATATATATTATAAAATATTATATAACTTAATTAGTATGTTCTAGATGCCACGTTTAAATAACATATTACATTTAGTGATGCCATTACCGTTAAATATATTTGATAACTACCAGGATTCAAATAGATTGCTTGCTTTAGATGCATTTCAACACATTATAGATAATACAGTTAGTAAAATATTATAAATAATTCAATTTTAAATTTGTTGGATATTTTAATAATTTTAATATGATGTATTGATCTAAATTAAAATTGTTCTATGTTTAATATTAAGCCTGCTGCTGAATTAGCAATGAGTGGATATGATATTGTTTTGTTAAAATCATTAGAATCTGGTTTGCAGTCATTTCCATGTGAATTGATTCCCAATTTATTAAGGTGTATTTTGTCGCTAATTTCAAAAATGCAAATGAAACATTTAACCAAGAAAAATTCCATAGAAGTAAGTGTTATTAAATTATTGTTTAGAACAAACACATATACTATCTGTTCTGCCTGTGTCAAACGAAAAAAAATAGATAAATTATCATTATATATGCTATTACCAAATTACTGAACGAAATTTGGCTTAAAAAATCCCAAATTTAATAATTGTTTTTGTTTGTAGATGACTTAATTAAGTTGGATCACTTAATTTTTACTTATCTTTCAGTATTAGGAATCTAATCAATATTATATTATATATGCCAGGGGCATATCCAATGGGGGGAGTATTTAGGGCTCCCCAATACATTTAGTAAACCCTTCTGTCACTTTACACACAAGGTAGACATAGCCATCCAACAATATGAATGCTAATTGGAAAAAGGTTGGCACCAATAGGGCAAATATAGTATTAAGTAGCACAGAACAAACTATACAAATATCAAAAATAATTTTAAAAACATCATCAAGCTCCAAATTCTAAGTTAAGTGTTGAAGGGTTTTTAATTTAATTGATAAATAATATTAAGACATAGCCAAGGCTAAATAAATATTTTTTAGTGTAATGATTAATGTTAGTAATATCATAATTTGTAGTATTTTTAAATTTGTATTGCACTTTTTGTTGTATTTATACTGTGTATTTGGTGTATATAAAAATTAATTTTTACTCCTATTACCATATATAACCACACAACACAAAGGTTGCACTATAAAAATTAAAAATTATGCTTTCTTTTACATCCGTGTTACCAATTTAACCCATAAATCAACTAAAATAATTAGATTTGTTTACTAAAAAATAATAATACCTAAAAGCCGAATTTAAAAGAGAGGATTTTAATAGCTATTAACTACTCTGGACATATAGAACATTTTACAAAAAACTGCGTGTAAATACTCCAGTATTTTCTAAGATTACCTTTGACATCAAAATGGTACTTTGTTTTATACATACATTTTTTTTAATTTAAATTATTCAACTATATTTTACAGTGGACAGAGTTTGACAATGTTATGAACATTTTATTACCACGTATGGAAATGGACCATAAAACAGAAGCAATAGAATGTTTCGCATCAATTTGGCCAATTGTCTTGGAGTCTGTTGGATTTGCATGTATTCGGTGGTCAAAACGTTTGATACCATTATTTGCAGAATATATTATGCAAGAGCACGCGACATTGGCAACAGTTAAGGTTAGCTAAAGTATTGATTAAATATATTTGTTCTATACTTATTTAAACAATGATATTAAAACATATGACTTATATTTATTGTATCTCTAGGCAATTGAAGTATTTATTACACAAACGTGGCCGAAAAGTAATACTTATTGGAATGTATTATTAGCAATATTGATTAAAGCTCTGTACAATGAAGATAAAACACAACCCAAAAAAGAAAACATTTTGGCAATTGAAGAATGTATTAAAACATTAAAAGCATCAAGACCAGAATGTATAAATCCTATTTTGACTAAATTTAAAGAATGTAAAGAATTTCAATCAAAAAAAATATTTAAAGAATCTTTAAAAAAATTATAGACTAAAAATGTAATGCAATTTAATATATGATTTTTTTTTTTAGTTCTATACTTGTTTTAGATTTTGAGTAGAGCGAGAAATGTATTGGTTTTACAATGATATTTATTTTATTTTTTTTTTGTGAACACTTTTTCTACAATCTTACTCCAATTATCAAGTATAGCGCTCTTTTTGAAAGGAAATCTGGATGGTACTTTAGAAAGGTCATTTTTTAAAATTCTCATTAATATTCAAGATAATGAGGAAAACCTCGGTCTTTAGATTAAAAATAAGGTTGTCATTGACAACCCATTTTATTATTTTAATCTTTTTTAAACAATCATCGTAGTCATGGAAACACACATTATAATCATTTTACCATAATATGATATATACCATATATTGTATTGTTCACAAAGCAACACATCTACTGAATTCCACTCAGAATCGTTTTTTTCGTTATTAATGATTTATCATTGCTTACAGATATATATTCAATTCTTGTCTTTATCCTACCTTTCCAACTTCCCACCTACAACTGTGGTTGCACCCACGTGTAAAGTTTATGTCCTGTTTTTTATATATTCTGTGTACAAAAATTTTACCAGATATCTTGCTCATATATATATGATATAGACCCTTTTCTAAAAGTCCATTTTCTCGGGGTGGTATTTTAAAGAGGTCTTTTTTAAATTTTTTCAGGTAGTTTTACCAATGAAAAAAAAGAAAGTTATAATTCCTGAATTGTACATTCCAAATTTTTACAAGTACTTAACCAAAAAAAACCACTATTATCTATCTGCGGATAAAATAGGATGTACGTGACTAATATCTGAAAACTGAACTAAGTCGTGATTGCAATGCTGTATTCTTGCCACTCACAGTTATCTATACTGTAGTATAGATATCTGTGTTGCCACCTTGATTTTTGCATTTAACATTGATAAGCAGTTTGAATTGATATCAGATATTAATATGTTATTGTGCCATTATACCTATAGGTTCGATTGTAAGAGTTAAATAATATTGTACAAATTTAATTTTGTTCAAAGGTAGAAATATTTAATATGTTTAATGTATGTAATATGTATATAATGAGTAGTAGTTACTTACCTATTCTTGACTAGGTGTTTTAAAGAGCAGAGAATTTCATATAATGGTTATATTTTGTGTGTTGTAAATTTAATACTAGCACGATTATTTAAAATGTCAGAAAACTACAAAATACAGGTAAATGGATTTCTTATATACTATATCATCTCCTTTACCTGCATCCCAATTATTTGGGGTTCGCTCTTTTCGTCCTAAACTTCCATTTGACTTGATCTTCCTCGATTCACATACTTATTCTCAAAAATCCAATCATCTCTTTTTGGTCTTCCTTTTTCCCTTTTCAAAACTTAAAGTCATAAATGCTAGGTCATTATCATAAAAATGTGTTCTTTCAGTTGAAACAAGTTGAACAATCTATTCAACATTCAACCAGTGAGGACCAATTGAATGAGCTGTTGTCATTACGAGATAGTTTAATCGAACTTATAGCTTTGACTTCCGAAAGTCCTGCAACCAAGCAGACTGCTGAACAGTTTTTAGATGACGAATATGCTTTATTTAAGGTAGACACATGAAATAAATGCACTAAACCTCACCATTTATTATTATCAAATATTTTATTTTTTTTTTTTTTTGAAATTATTTGTTTTTTGGCCCTAATTTTGTAAATATTTCACTTGTTTTTCAAAAATCATTATAGAAGTTATGACGAAAAAATGTTTTGTAGTAATATGTGTGGGGGAAAAGCAATATACCTAACACCTAACCTACATTTTCAATCTGATACTACTTCAAAAAGGATAGTGTGCTAAACGTAAACATGAACCTTGGTACTCGAGACCCAGGTCTTCATATTGAACTTGCAAAACTTTAAAAACTACTTCAAATTGCTATAACTTCTTAAATAATATTTTCCGAAAAATTCTAATTCCATCATCATATTCAATGAAAACGACATTTAAAAAGAAAAAAAAATGGAATATTTAGTTTTTGTTATACATTTTTTCTAATGGTTTTCCCGAAAAATTCAAACATTTCAATGTTAGGAAACATTTTTTTCTAAAAAGAAGAATTTGAAAATTGTAAGTTAATTGGTAAATTGCACTTAAGTCTACTTTCCTACCAAATACAATAATATACATTTCATGGTACCTATTAGTTTTCATTAAACGTTTAAATAAAAATTTTACAGGCTGAAATCAATGCAACTCATGAAAACGATAATAACTATGACAAAGATGAGCAGTCATCCTGTGATATTTTATATGTTTCTAAAAATGACAAAGTATGTACAAAACAATAAAATTAAATCATAAATATGAGTAATTTATACAGCCTTTGAATGAATGTGTATTTTTAGTTTAGTATATAGTTATACTAAACATTTATGCAACAAATTATATCTAAATTTGTATGTTATATTTTATAGGTAACTACTGATTTCCAATCTCATATTTCAACTATTGAAATAAATTCAGATAGTGATAGTTCTTGTGAAATTGTTAATGATCGTCTTGAATCTCCTGGAATTGAAGTAAATTTATTATGATTTGTTTTTATTACACTGTTATATTTTTGTATGTACACACTATAGTTGCATACCACATCTGATTTGCTTTATGAACTAATTTTTGATAAAAATTTGTTTTTTATCAGAATGAGTTGGCTAATTTGCAAGGATCTAAGTGTCAAGCTCCATTTAAAAATGAATTTGATGAAATGTCAACTTATCATAATGCACTTATTATGTCTGTTGAAATGAACAATTCAACAGATCAACAATCATTGGATGATATAATGGTAAATTTAAGTAAATAATAAAATTAACTTTATTTTGTGAATTCAGCTATTACACAAAAAGACATAGGTAATTATTTTTTATTATTAAAACAATTACCATTACATTAGTGTAAAATTCCATGTTGCATAAGTTAGATTAAATTAAATATACCCAATCAATTAAGACATGTATTATTTTGTATTAGTAACATTTATTTTATAAACATAAGAAAAATGTGATTGGTTAATCTGCCCTTCAGAACCAATAATTTTTCTATAAATATGTATAATATAAAAATGTACAGTAAAACACAGTTTTAATTGTGTGTGCAATTATTTTACAGGTAACTGTATTCTATACCAACCCTGTATGTAATCAAATGTTACCTTGTCAATACTTTTTGAATGGTGAATGCAAGTATTCTAATGATAGATGTTATTTTTCACATGGACATCAAGTTCCATTATCACATCTCACAGAATTTAAGTAATTGTCTTTAATAATTGTTGACTGATTAAGTATAGTGTAACTTGATATAAAATATTTAATTGTTTGTTAATTTTGTGTTTTTTTTTTTTTAATACTTATAGAGAACCTGATTTTAACCTTTTGAAAGTGGGAAGTTTAGTATTAGCAAAATCTTGTGAAGGTGGTCTTTGGGCAAGAGCAATTATTGTAGATATTGTACACAGCACTTCAACTAATGAGGGAACATGTGTTGTTAAATTTGAAATCAAAGGACTTGGGGAAATAGAAGTTCCAATGCAAAATATTTTTCCCCTGATTGGCAATGGTATGTTATTTTAATGTTTATGAATGGATATTATATAAGATATATCTAACATTAATACCTGAAACCTAAAATAACATTGTTCTGTTCAATATTTTTAAGATTTTTTTTCTTACTCTATGATTCCTCTATTAATTTTTTATTTGAAACTAAAAATAAAAATTATATGTAAATAAATATGTATGTATTATATTTTATTAACTATATTTATTTATGAGTATTAAACATTTTAATAGTTTTTATTATTTTATTGTTTTCAAAATTCAAGATGACCATTTTATAAATATATTTTGAAATAAAATTTTATTGTCACAAATATTTACTAATGATGAATCGTTAAGTTTCTACAATATGTCAAGTGTTCAAAAGTCAATTTGAATAAATTCATGTTTTATAAAAGTCATGTGTTGTAAATATAATTTTAGAAAAAATCTAGATTTAGCTCTGATGGAAAATACATTTTAATCTTGAACTAGATTATTTAATCAATTATTTGAAATACATGAATCAGTTGAAAGAGGAAACAGAGCTATTATATTCATTTCAATTTCATATCTATACATTTTATCTATATATATATATATATTTATAACATATGACTGAGAAATAATGAAAAATATTAAACAGAACAAAATTTATTTCAGGTGTCAGATCTTCGTGTTTCGGCTTGTATTAATTCAGGGGGGGATGAGAGTGATCTATTCACTTCTATTACATTATATTAACAGTTCTAAAAAATTACCTTTTTCCTTTCCTTGACAAAATCATTTGATTGCCACCAATGTATTTATATATATTTTTATAGACAATGAATTGCTCGAGATTGCATCTGATAGTGATGAAAACAGTAAAACTATAGAACGTGATGCAGCGATTGTTAATAAAGTACTATTAAATGCAGAACCTGTACAATCTCTAGGTAGTTGGGAAAAACACACAAAGGTAATTATTATTAAATTTATTAAATAAAATTAAGGAATTATATTGGAATACCTACTAAAAATCTTACTTTATATTATTTTCTGATAGCTACAATCATGACAAATCGGTTTTTAATATTACTCATAGCTTTGTATTGTTATTATTTATATATCATCCAATATTAAACATTCTTTTTTTTTTATTATTTAATTTTATAATAGGGTATTGGTTCAAAATTGATGGCTAAAATGGGGTATATAATGGGAGCAGGTTTAGGTAAAAACGGTGAAGGGCGGATTATTCCTGTGGAGGCTACAGTCTTACCAAAAGGAAAATCATTAGGTAAGCAGCAAAATATGTTGCAATAAAGTTCAATCAATGTTATTTATTTTGTATGTTATTTTCAGATCACTGTATGTCTATAAAGAATACAGTACAAATTCAAAATGCTCGAAAAAAGCACAAGCAACAAATGCAATTAGAACGATCTATGAAGAAATCGTATGAAAAAGCATTAGAAAAGCCACCTGATGTTTTTACATTTCTCAATAGCAATCTTAGTAAGAGAATCAAGTATATAGTTAAATTAAATTTGTATTTTACCTTATACCTTGTTTATAGATATTAAAAGTACTAATGAAAATAAAAACACAATTGACGAAAAAAAATTGAAAAGTTCTACTAAACATGACTTAAATGTTAGAAGTTTGAAAATTGAAGAAGACATAAAACGACAACAAATACAAATACAAGAATTAAATTACAAATTGAATCAAAGTATGGTTGGTTCTGTACAACGTAATGTGGTTAATCAGAAATTGAATGAAGCCAATATTCATCTCACAAATTTGAGAACTGAAGAAAAATCAATACAAAAAGAACACACATATAGAGAAACACATAAAAAAATGACTGTATTTTAATTAAAAAACATTTATTGATATTTATTTTATCTGGTGTTAGTATTAGTATTTTTAGGGAAAAATATATCTACCCAAATAATTGAATATAAGTAATTAAAAAAAATATAGTAATTTAAAATTATATTTATGAACTTATTGTGTATAATATAATAATATTATCATATGTATAAGTAATAATTGTTAAGATTAATTCTTATTGATTCATTGCCGTAAAATATGTGACCACCACTTGGATTTACAAGTTAAGACTATTCAAATTGTCCAACAAAAAATTTAATTAAATTTGAATATATGGTTAACCATATAACATTTATATTTAAATAAAAAATTCAAATTAAAAGTAATGCCATTATATTTTCGAATGTTATTATTGTTGACTAATGATTATATTTTTTACTTCATAATTGTTTAAACTAACGGCTTTCAATAGTATATGAAAAATAAAAAATACAATTAATTATACTAAATATTATAATCAATATAAGTACAGAACAAATTTTTACACAACAATCATTTAAGATCTAATAACGTTGATTATCTTTATAACCCTTGTAAACGGAAAACTTTGTTGAACTTACTTATTTATACTTTCTTATATATACCTTCCTAGAACATTAAACAAGAATTGACCAAGAGTTTAAGTGTAACCCTCACAGTCGTGTGTGATTGGCCTGAACAAAGTAGAATAAATACACAAAAAAAAACCAAACTCTCATGAAAATATGTAAGGGATAACCATAAACTAATGGATCCCACAAAAGTTAACTTATTAACATTCATATCTTACAATATTTATTTTAATTAAATGTTTTAATAATCTCATGATTTTTAAATTTTGATATGAAATGTTTAAATGTTATTATTCTCAGTAATTAATACAAAAAAAAGACGTCCTAGGATAATAGAAACGGGTGCAAGTCATTGTTATAGGTAATTTAATGTACCTCTGTAAAGAGAGATAAACGATTGTTAATGAAAAAAAAACGATTCTAAATGCAGTTCAGTTGATTGTGATACTTTGTCAACAATATATATATGTCATATGCTAAAATAATTAAATATGCATTATATATTTTCTTTAACAATATTTTTTTAATATTGTACCAATTTTCCCGTTTTTTACATTTTCTGGTAAAATCAAAAAATGACCTTTCTAAAGTACCTCTCCAGATTTCCTTTCAGAAAAAGTGCTATCATTTAAAATATAAGTTAAAATATAAGTTTGCACAATAAATTGAGGGGTACTTTGTGATTAAAATAGTCTGAACAAGAGAATTGTTTGGGCCTCTATGCACACCCAAAATACATTTGTTTTTTCTGGTTTAGGTAAAAGGGGAAAAAAATGCAAAGTATTATTTGAAACCAGGATTTAAACTCGCGACCCCTAGGATGATAAGAGGAATGAATAACCATTAGATCATGACAAACGTTTTTTAAAAGACAATATAAAGTTATTTAATAAAATATAATATCCATATAGTAATTAATATAGTAAATAAATAAACAAATAAAAATTGTATAAATAACAATAAAATAAAGAAATGAATGAATGTGTAGCCTAGGGTATTATGACAACTGTTATACGACCGGTAATTGCATATCAGACTTCAAAAAAGCTATAATTTCGAAACAGTCAATACGCTCAATACTGACTTCACTATAGTTCTTAAATCGGCAATATACATATGTTTGAAAAAAAAAATTGACAAAATTATTTTTGTTCCATAGCTCAATGAATTTTCTTTAGTTCATAATTTTTTTTTCTCCATAAGACGGTACCTATTTTGTACACATATAAGTTTAAATATTTAACTTATTCACTAATACTACTATAATAATATTTGACAGTCGACAAAGAGGGGAGAACCATTCGACATTTCGACAAAACACGATGATCATAATCAGACCAAAAACCATCATACAGCACAACCAACAGAATATTTAGGTACACATTTGACAATATAATATAAATATCGTCAAAAAGCTATTCGAAAAACACCTATAAGCTATAGAGTTTGCTATATGGCATAGATTAAGATTACCATAAAAAAAAAAAAGAATAATTCTAGACTTTTGTCTTCATGGAGTAAAGTTATGCATAAAACTCATTGATAATATAAGAATGGATAGGCCATGAAAGTTTATCACTGAAAAACGAACATTTTTATAATTTTACCGCGATTTGAGGTTACAAAGGGTTTTATCAATAAAGTTGTAAACTTGATCAAAAATAATTAAATAATCAATAATTCATAACCCATTTTACATTTATTTAATATGAATTAAGCTAGTTAGTTAAAATTAATTAGTGCTTTATAATCAATAATCATAAATGATGAATAATTATTTACCTACAACCTGCATAAAAAGAATATAAATCACAACTCTGGTTTATGAACATTTGTCATAATAACAGTAGGTACTCAACTAAATTTATTCATGTCTGAAATGGTTAAGTTCCGTTAATTTACCCCTGGTACGATTTTCCTTTATATTTTTAATCTTTTTAATTTCGTAAAAAATACGATAATAATAATATCAAATTTTATTGAAATATCTACTTGAAATTGTATAAACAGGGACAGTCTGTTTTTCATTCACATTTTGGAACGCAGCCCCTTATTGTAATAATATATAATAAATTTGGATACGACAACTTTACGGTATTTTAGTCGACTAAAAGTCACCGAAATATGTTTTATTTATTATGAAGGCTAGATTTGAAATCGAATATGTCTTAGTACAAAATGTAAAACGTTTGAACGGGATAATTGTGTTCTCCATAAGTGATTTCTTTGTACTTTTTAGACAAAAACGGTATTTTATAAAAAAAAAATATCTTACGAAAATTACATAGAATGCAGTTAAAATAATGAAATGCCCACAGATAATACATATGCATACATGTGAGGGGTCTGGTTTCAAAATGCACAATCTCCACGTACGCTAAATTTTCAAAAAAACCAAAAAAAAATAACTTTAAAAATATAAAGTAGGTACTGATTAGTTTAACCTTTTCAACATAGTTGTGCAAATATGATTTATCAGTTTTTTGTTTTAAAATTACAAGATTTCGTCTTGGTTTCGACAACATTCTGGTTGGAGATTGTACAGCATGAAGCATAATAATATGTACACGGATGTAATATTACATTTACCCATTTATTCATGGGTATAATATTATAGAATTATATTCCATGACGGTAATATTTATTATTTATTATTATCGACTACTGGGAGATTGTAAGTTTTGAAACCCATACTCCGTGCGCTGCCCGGGAGCGCAATCGGCGGCGACCAAAACGCGTCCTGGTCCGCGCATCCGGGGCGGTCAATTAGCATTTGGCAGTCCACTTGGTGGGAGAAATTCGATCTCGACACTGCTGAGCGCTTTCGTTTGTACGCGCCGACGAGTTGCGCTCTATTATTATAAATGTAATTTTTAAGCTTGAAAAAAAAAATCAATAGTCCCTTCGCTACGCTCGGAATCTAAAATACACCAGGTTTTGACCTTTTACCTCGGCGATAGCGAGTTATTCGAATTCACCGCTGAAAATTGCACGTGAAACGACATTTACCTCATTTTTCATGAAAATTAGGGATTGTAAACTTTGAAACTAGACCCGTCCACATGTGTACACAATACACATGCATGGAAATGCCATATTACCATCGATAATATAAACACTATAAGCATAATTCATTTGATTTTGATAATAATTATTAAATAATTTCCGTGACTTTTGGTCGACATAAATACTGTAAAATTATCGTACCGAAATATATGATTGATTAGGTTTGTAAACGGTGGAGTTGTATGTTGTCGAGTGGCTTTATGACGATTTGAATTATTCCTAAAATACAACATACCCAATGGTCAATTAAAAAGTTAGTAGTATTGTATGGTGGTTATTTGTCTGATGGCTTTTTGACGTGTTTCGATCTCGAGGTATATGTGCATTTTATGAAACGTTTAATATAATAAATATAATGCATATTTAATTTGTATAAATTAAGATGAAAGCGCTTTGTTTCAAAATTAAAATCTGTTGTTGCACGCTAATGACGATTAGAGATATACTTTTGTTCGTGTTCAGAAAAAAGAATTTTAATTCTTGTTCAGATAACAAATTACAATTACTAAAACAAAACCGTTTTAATGTCTTACAGAAATATGATTTCTATAATACCTACCTACTGAACATTTGTAAAAAAAAAACGATATTTATATCCCGACCCAACGTTTTCAAATATTAATTTTGAAATAGTTATGATCAAAGCTGCAAAAATATAAAAACTTAATATATGTAAATGCATATCTACATATAAATATCCGTGGTTGTTTTTATCACTTTATCCATAGCACTCGCCGAAAAATACAAGAGCTGGGTCTTGAAAATCAGTAAGTACCTATCCATCGTAATGACGACGAGTTAAATATGTTTTGTCGTACGATCGACGGACTAGCATTTTTCCCAACAGAATTTGTTGAAGACTGTATGAAATAATTGTATAAATAAAGTCTATTTAATTATTTTACTGTAAAATTGCATTTATATTGTTGGCAAAGCATCACTATCAAGTGAACTCCGCTCAGAATGTTTTATCGTTGCTTACAGGTATACATTAAATTATAAACATATAACTAACCAACTATAAGTGCCATCATAATAAACATTTTGTTTTTTTAATATTAATTATATAGATAGTAAAAATATTTTGTAATGTAAATTTTTTTTACACGATGAAATAATGGTATAATATTTTTAGCTGATTGTTTTTTAAATTATTAAAAAAATATAACAATCCTGTATACGAATATATTATTATATTTTTATAAAATTTATAATAATTGATTATTCGTTGAATGCTCTAGCTTTTAATGATTTACAATATTCAACTTTGTTAATAACTTTTAATATATCACGTCACGTACACCAATGATATTTTCAAATGTGTATAAATATTAAAATGTTTCATATCATATTATATTTCAGTTCAACTATATAAATAAAAATTAAAAATTACACCTAGGTATTTTAGTTGAGTATCTGGTGAACTTATTTAAATTTAAAATAAAATTAATTTCATTGTTTGTGATATTTATTTTAGGCAAGAATTTAATATTAACAAAATAAAATATTTAAGGATTTTAAGCATGCAATACTTAATAATGATTAACTTATACAGATGTATATTCATTGGGCTTAAATAGCTCGTAATATATATTATATACAAATATTTTCTAAGTATTTTCGTATAATAAGTATTTCACATGGTAGATTTATACGTTCTACCATTGTATTTAGCGTTTTATTTGTTAATATGCAACTGAAAACAGTAAAATAAGCGCTAGAAAACATTGAAAATCGGCAAGTAAAACTATCAAAAATAAAAAAAAAAAACAACATTTACATTTCGTATGGATTTGAGTTAAGACCCAAACTGTAGCTATTAGTTACCTACACCAAAAACTAAGAAGAATTATTTTTCTAGGAAAACGCTAATTCGGGATTATAGTAGTCGTGGTAAAAACGCAGTCAGTGGCCATTTTGAAAGACGACAGATTTACCGTCTGACGGAAGTTACGCCGTGTCCCAACTGAATCCGGGAGATGCGGTGCGTGCGTTGCGTGCAGTGTTGCCCGCATCGCAAACCGCTGCGTGTTATTTTTATTATGGCAAAATTAAATACGATTTTATCGTACGCGGGTAAATTTGTTGATTCTTCGATTGTTGTAAACACGCCCCTAACGGGATACACAACGAAAGTTTTTGCTATCCGAAAACCTATGGTTGAAGTATATACGCTTAAAAAAAAATAAATAATGTTAATATTGTATATTCGTATAAAGATGGTCTTATTTTTGGCGAATTTTATCATCTTTACCCGAAATTACGCGAAGACGATAATTTATTTAGATCGTACACGGGGATGCACTAGGTAGTAGGTACACATTCCTTTTCAATTCCTTTTCTACAGCTTCCCAATTTCTATCAACTTTGATTTTGTCTTTAAATTGTT